AGGTTACTTTAAAATAAACGATTACTTAAGTTAATTTAAAAGATTGTAAATTAATCTTTCTCTGTGCAAGTGCACATTTCCTTTTGCACACCAATGTTTGGGTGAATGTTTTCACGAGAAGGAGAGAGCAATTGTGAATCGAGTCTATTTATAGACCTGCTTTCTTTCTTTCTAATGCTACACACGTTTCTCTCGTTTCTTTTGCTGACAATCTGTCCTTTTTCTCTCTTTCTTTCATTCTCTCTTTCTTTCTTTCTTTCTTCCTTTCTTTCTTTCTTTCTTTCTTTCTTTCTTTCTTTCTTTCTATTCAAGTTGTTTTTCTCTTAATCTCCTTTTTATCCACTCTCAAAATGACTATTTCATTCAATTTTTTGTATTGAATATCTTTGAATATCTTTGAATATCTTTGAAAATTCCTTTACTTTCCTATCATATCATCTTCTTGGTCAATGTTTACATTGAAAACCAATAAAAATCGGCACACGTTTAGAGATCTTTTCTGAAAACTTAAAGTGCTCGAGTCATAGATGTGTCAATGATAAAAAAATGGCTTGGTTGAAAATCTTTGGACAGTTTTTTATATGAACTTAAAATTGAATTGTAAACAAAAAGGGCAATGCTGTGAAATGCCTTGCAATGCTTCTTCAATTCGAATTCTGAACTAATGTGATAGCTTTTTCCGGTAACTTATCTTATCAAGGTATTGAATTTGTTCTTAATCTTGCTTTTTCAAAGTTAAAACATAAAATAAAAATGTTGTCTTTGTAAAGTAAAAGTTTGAATTCATCTTTTTCTTGTTCTTGATTCAACGTGTGAACTTCTTGCTGTCAGAGTTGAAATTTAGAAGCCGAAGATCGTAATAAGCCTAAGCCTAAGCCTAAGCCTAAGCCTAAGCCTAAGTCTAAGCCTTTTAGCCAAGTCAGAGTTGAAACACTGAGTTAGAAATAGGGTAACTCAAAAACTTGTGCACCGCCGAGAGACTCGAACCCGCGACCTTTCGTTTACCGGGCAAATGTTCTAATTATCTGATATCACCACACCACAACGCATCTGATATCCTTTAATCCACAGGGACCATGTATTCCATGGAATTAACATATTAAATTTGATGTACATCATGTGCTATGTAGATCAAATGTACATCATGTGAGATCAGATGTACATCATTTGAGATTAGATGTACGGGATGTGAGATCAGATGTACATCATTTGAGATTAGATGTACATCATTTGAAATTAGATGTACATCATTTGAAATTAGATGTACATCATTTGAAATTAGATGTACATCATTTGAAATTAGATGTACATCATTTGAAATCAGATGTACATCATTTGAGATCAAATGTACATCATTTGAGATCAGATGTACATCATGTGAGATCAAATGTACATCATTTGCGACCTACATCATGTGAGATGTACATCAAAGACATTTGTATTCATGGGTGCAAGAAAAACATGGACATTAACATATACACAGGACGTTACCATGTATATCCATGTAATTAACATATTAAACTACTGATCATTTTTTAGCAAAGATATAGCAAAGATGATGAAATTGCAGAGAAATCTGTTCCCCAATCTACACCAGAAGCTAAATTTGGTCACTTTAACGGTTTCAGGGAAAACTCTTGAATTCCGGATGATCCGTGACTCAAAAAGACGGCTTTCCCACATTGAGGCACCCTTTTTTCAGAGCCGAATTCTCTCTTCAGCTTTTTTCACTTTTCAACAAACCATTTCTCTTCTCTCTCAATACCAATGTCCTTGAAAGACATTTGGACCATTTCCTTCCATTTCTGCCTTACCAATTCTTGTTTGTCTTCCCAAACACTTGTCTTTCTTCAACCATTTCTTTCTTTCAATGTCAGTTAATTGAAAGAGTTCCTTGAACAGTCAATAAAGTTCATCAATTCTCATTTCTAAAGTAGATTCGAACTTTAAACTGTTACAATTGCTTTGATGCAATCAAATCTCACCTTTCTACTGTTCTTGATGCTTTAATTCAATCAAATCTAAACTTTAAACTGTTCTTGATGCTTTGATACAGTCAAATCTCAACTTTCAACTGTTACAATTGCTTTAATTCAATCAAATCTAAACTTTCTACTGTTCTTGATGCTTTAATTCAATCAAATCTCAACTTTTAAAACCATTCTTCCTTTTGCTTTGATTAGATATTCAATTTGAAAGCAATTTCCGATTTTCTAACAGAATTTTATGGTTATCACAATTTCATAGACTTTCCTGAGCCAGCAAATCTATTAATTGTTGATTTTCAATCTCATTTTAAAGCAAGTTCTATTGACTCTAAACTTCAGAATTCTCTAATAAATCTATCTATTGAAATTCTCTATCCTATCACTTGAGAAACCTAAAATTTATAGAAGATTTTATCGCTCATTTCGGCTTATCTTTTTCTTATCATCTATAATTTGACGAGAAATTCTCTAATGGAATGATTCTCAAAGTGAAAGTTCTCATTTACATAGCTAAAAAGGGTCAAATCGGAGATATAATGTGATGAACAAAAGGATTTTAGAAAAAGGAAAAGGCTAGGGAGATCACAGGTTGATATAATCAATGGAAAAGATCTAGAAAAGAAAAGAGATCACCATCACTCAACCAAGAACCTTTTAGAATTCTTTGCTCTACCTCTTTCTGAGGATTGATTGCGCAATCTTAATTAATTGTTTTTAAAGTATTGTAAATTCTAAAGTAAAAAGTTTATTTATTAAAGAAAAAGACAAGAATCTACTGATTAGAAATCAATAAAGTAAATAAAGCTTTGGAATAACCATTTCTAGTTCTTTGGAATAACCGGCTTTGGAATAACCATTTCTAGTTCTAAAGGCTTTGGAATAACCATTTCTAGTTCTAAAGGCTTTGGAATAACCATGTCTAGTTCTAAAGATTTTGGAATAACCATTTCTAGGCTTTGGAATAACCATTTCTAGTTCTAAAGGCTTTGGAATAACCATTTCTAGTTCTAAAGATTTTGGAATAACCATTTCTAGGCTTTGGAATAACCATTTCTAGGCTTTGGAATAACCATGTCTAGTTCTAAAGGCTTTGGAATAACCATATCTAGGCTTTGGAATAACCATTTCTAGTTCGAAAGATTCAGTAAAGCTGCCGTAGTCACTACAAGAAGCATTCAGCTGACAAGGTTGCATCTCCATTATGTTAAGTCAAAATTATTCCCGACTTGTTAACTAGGAACTGACTATCAAAATCACAATGTTAAAACTAAACTACAGTGCAGCTAAGATTTAGTAATGATTTTAACCTTTTTGTTTGTCTTTTTTTGAATACCAATGGATGCTGACATACAAATGGACAAACTTCTGCTTTATATAGCTTTATTGCTTTATTAAAACATTGAAAATTCTATTTCCAGTTGGATTATTCTTATAAAAACCACTAGAAAATCTTTCCATTTGTTTCAATTTTTGTTGATGACATTGCCTTTTGGCAATTCCGATTCTTGTTTCACTCTCGTCATCACATAAAAACCAATAAATAGAGAACGAAGATTGTCGAAGCGAAGAAAAAGCGAAGATTGTCTTGTTGAGAATGAGAGAATCAGCTGAATTGTTCATCTGATTTCTCTTTCTTTCCCTTTCTCTTCCTTTCTCTTCCTTTCTCCTTTCTCTATATCATTCACTGAGTATCCATTGAATGATCACAGCTAATCGTATCTGTGATCATTCAATGATCACAGACACGATTAGCTGGCTATATAAAGCTATATAAAGCAGAAGTCTGTCCGTTTGTATGTGAGGATCCATTGGCAAAAAGGGAATCTAACGGAATCTAAGCACCACCCCTTTTTAATAATGGATTCTGACATACAAACGGACAAACTTCTGCTTTATCTAGCTTTATTGCTTTATTAAAACATTGAAAATTCTATTTCCAGTTGGATTATTCTTATAAAAACCACTAGAAATTCTTTCCAGTTGTTTCAATTTTTATTGATGACATTGCCTTTTGGCAATTCCGATTCTTGTTTCACTCTCATAATCACATAAAAACCAATAAATAGAGAACGAAGAAAATGAGAAAAAGCGAAGATTGTCTTGTTGAGAATGAGGAAATCAGCTGAAAGTGTTCATCTGATTTCTCTTTCTCTTCCTTTCTCTTCCTTTCTCCTTCCTCTATATCATTCACTCATTCAATGATCAGCTACGATTAGCTGGCTTTCTATGCTCAACATTTCTTGTTTCTAAAAGAGAAATCAGATGAAAACTTTCAGCTGATTGTCTCATTTGTAACTGTTACTATATTTCAAGCTTTATTATTCATCTTGTTTACTAATCATTTTCTGTACAATGTACTCAAGAGAACTAGAAAATGAGCAGGTTATGATGGGTAGGGTTTTTTCAATCAATTCTAGAACCAGAACTGGCTTTGAAATGTGATTCTAGGATCGGTTTACCCTGGTTCTTGCTATATTATTTTAATAATTAGTTCTGAAACACTACGCTAAAGTTAATCAAGCGCAATCAAGACAGTTTATCATCTGTTTTTTACAATATACTTTACAATACTCTGTACAATGTACTCAAGAGAACTAGAAAATGAGCAGGTTATGAGGGGTAGGGTTTTTTCAATCAACTCTAGAACCAGGCCTGCCTTTGAAATGTGATTCTAGGATCGGTTTACCCTGGTTCTTGCTATATTATTTAAATAATTACTTCTAAAACACTACGCTAAACACTTAAACACTGTTTTTTCCTATTCAGTTTCACTATGTTCTATTAAAATTTCGTTAAGTTTTAAATAAATCTTTAACTTAACCTTTTAGCTATTAACCTATAAAAAAAGCTATCCACTTGGCGATTCTTGGCCAATCTTAGAGGCAGAATTGTTGTGGGGTAAAGAGTTGTGGAGGAAAAATGGGTAAAGGAGAGAAAAGGAGATTGTTTGCTGACCCGAGCCAAGATATTTTGTTTGTCTATGTATCTTTGTCTTCTTTTCTTTTTCCAGGTATGGGTTGGTCACAGCCTTCGGGCATTCAAAGCACCGTTCACCCACACAGCTATTGACAGCTTTTTCTTTAGTATCTTTACATTTTTATTAAAAAGTTAAATTGTTACAAAGATTGCTATTGACAAAGATTGGTATTGCTATTTCTTCGAAAGTCTTTTCTTTAACTGTTCTGTTGTTTCTGTTTTACTGATGGATTAAATCGTTTTACAATTCGTTTTCTCTTACAATTCGTTTTTTTAGGCTCTTACAATTCAGTAGGCTTGCTTTTTTTGTAAATCATTTAATGATTGAGTAAGTCTTTGACTTTATTTAAAGGTTTTAAGTTTAATTTCAATGTTTGATGTGTTAATCCAGTACATAAACACTTTGATAAATGATTGTGTAAGATTGAAATCCGATTAATCATGACTTAGTAAACAAAAACCAAGATCTTTAATCTAAAACTGAAAATTTCTATCTTATTTATTGGCTAGTAACCAGTACCAAAGGGATCTAAAAGATAAAAGGGTCAAAAAATCAAATCAAGATCGTACCTAAGGTTGATAGATTAATTTAAACAAGATTTCAGATACAATTCAAGATAAGAACAAGTACAAGAACAAGAACAAGAACAAGTACAAGTACAAGAACAAGAACAAGTACAAGCACAAGAACAAGTACAAGAACAAGAACAAGTACAAGAACAAGTACAAGTACAAGAACAAGTACAAGTACAAGAACAAGTACAAGTACAGGAACAAGTACAAGAACAAGAACAAGTACAAGTACAGGAACAAGTACAAGAACAAGAACAAGTACAAGTACAAGATAAATCAATTCAACAAGCCTCATTTAGTTTTTAAGAGCTAGTGTTGGACACGTCACCAAGTCGGGGCGTCAGAAATGAAAGGGGAGAAAATGAAAAAAGGAAAAAAGGCTAGGTGAGGGGATGCATGTCGTTTCGGGAGTTTTGTGACACCCCAGCCTTTGCCGGTCTTCCATTCCTCCTGCAATAGATAAGAAACCATCTTTTCCCCAGCCTCCTTTTGATTCTTTTTCTTCTCTTTACATTCTTTCACACTAGATAACCAATTCCCCATTGTGCTTGTAAATTCTTCAATCTTGTCATCTTTCAACAATTCTCTTGTCATTGATTTCTATCAATTCTTAGATTTAAATTGAACAGGTAACTTTCAGATCACATTTTTGCAAGAAGTAAAGGAAAAGGAGACATTCTGGCGCCACTCTCTTACAATACGCGTCAGTAAAATGCTTTGGAATCGATTTTTTTAGAATTGAATTAGTTAAAAAGATGAATTTCTTTAAGATTACAAGAAAGTATAAAGATTTACTCTTATATTGCTTAGGCTTAGGCTTAGGCTTAGGCTTAGGCTTAGGCTTAGGCTTAGGCTTAGGCTCTATTAACAAGAAAAACTTATGATATCTTATGAAACTGTGAGTGTTATTGAATTGAATAAACAAAAATTGAACAAAATTTGAGTTAACCAAGTTTAAAAGTTTAGTTTAAAAGTAAAGAATAATAAATACTTTAAGAACAGAGCTTTAGATGCTTGATTGATGCTTTAGAATCGATTTGTTTAGAATTGAATAAGTTAAAAGCATTAATTTCTTTAAGATTACAAGAAAGTATAAAGATTTTCTTTTATTTTGCTTAATCTTATGAAACTGTGAGTTTTATTGAATTGAATAAGCAAAAATTGAATAAAATTTGAGTTAATCAAGTTTAAAAGTCTAGTTTAAAAGTAAAGAATAAGAAATTCTCTAAGAACAGAGCTTTAGATGCTTGATTGATGCTTTAGAATCGATTTTTTTTAGAATTGAATAAGTTAAAAGCATTAATTTCTTTAAGATTACAAGAAAAATATAAAGATTTTCTTTTATATTGCTTAATTTATATATAATTTTAGAGTCGGGTTCACCCGGATTACGTCCAGAGTACGTTGATGGTCTTAAAGCGTTTTTTGATGTGCTAGACAGTCAACGAAGAGGCACTGTTTCTTATGAAACTGTGAGTTTTAAAGAAATATTGAAGAAAAGTTAATCAAGTTTAAATAAGTAAAGAAGAGCTCTAAGAATAGAGCTTTAGATTCAATTTAATACTAGTACAAGGGTCAATACTCGTATAGTAATACCATCTCATTTAAAACTCGATTTCAACCTTTTTTAGGAAAATTTAGTTCTATTTAGTTCCTTTATAGTTCCTATTTGGTTACTGTATAGTTCCCATTTAGTTGCTATTTAGCTCCTATTTGGTTACTTTATAGTTCCTATTTGGTTACTGTATGGTTCCCATTTAGTTCCTATTTGGTTACTGTATACTTCCCATTTAGTTCCTATTTGGTTCCCATTTAGTTGCTATTTAGTTCCTATTTGGTTACTTTATAGTTCCTATTTGGTTACTTTATAGTTCCTATTTGGTTACTGCATGGTTCCCATTTAGTTCCTATTTGGTTACTGTATAGTTCCTGTTTAGTTCCTATTTAGTTCCTTTATAGTTTACAGTCTAACTCTTTTTTACAACTAATTTATCTCTTTTTCTGCTTTAATCCAATTTAGTTTAGAATGAGTATTTTGAAAATAAGCACTCTAAAGCCAGCTTTGAGATTGAATTTAAGTCAAAATCTTAAACTTGAATGGTTTAAACTTAACTTGAAATCTTAAACTTGAATGGTTTAAACATTTTAAATTTTAACTTTAAAACTTTGAATATTTAAAGGTTTTAAGCTAAAAAGATTCAAGTTAAAAGGCTTTTTGATAACTGATTTCAATTGATTTTCCGATTCATTCTCAAATTTCTTTTCTCGATTGTTGGTAATCCGATTTTGAGTCATTCAACTGATTCACATCTCATTTTCTTCAGAGAACCTAAAGAATTTTCCTAAAAACAAACACTTTTTCAACAAAAATGTTTTCAAATGATCCTTTTACACTGAAATTGATTCCTTTCTTTGTTTGCATCTCATTGAAAGCTTTTTAGAAGCGATAAGGAGATGAATAGACTTCAAGAGAAGGTTTTCATTCGAATTTTTAGGCTAACACTTTTATATTTTATCAATCTTTTAAAACCAAAGTAATCTAAGCTTTTTATATTTAAATTTTCAAATAAAATCAATATCATATTTATCTATTATATTCATTTTATCAGCCTTACCAATACTAGATTCATTTTTACAATCTTTTGGCTATACGATAGAACGTAATTGTACTTAGATTGTAGATTATATTGTTGATTATATTGTTGATTATATTGTTGATTATATTGTTGATTATATTGTTAATTGTATTATAGATTATATTATAGATTATATTGTAGATTATATTATTGATTATATTGTTGATTATATTGTATTTATTTATTAAAATCCATTTTGAACATCGTTTATATGGATTTAGACAAAATCCTGAAATGGAAATGCCGGTAGAAAGGATGAAGTATGCACGCGACAAGATCGTTTACATTTATCCGCATGACTGGTTTCATCTTTCAAAAGTTGAGAAGAAATGATGTGAGAAAAGATGCAGAAAGAGATGAGAAGAAGACAGGAAATGGGGAAGAAAGAGGAGGGAATCTCAGGGAAAAGCTCTGAATGGACGGAAAGGGGGATGAAAGCCTGCCGACTGGAGGTGGCTCTCACTGACCAGATCGGATCTTTCACCCCTTTAAAGGCTCACCTCATTCACTCTCTTTTCTTCTTCATTAAATTCTTATTCTATTCATATCTGCATAGACTTTTATCACAGTTGCTTCTGAAACAGGCAAACTTCTGTGTTCAGCTAGCTTTAAGCATTTGTAGCTAGAGCTTTAGACTCTAGCTTTGTAGCTTTAGATCTTTAGACTCCAGCTTTATAGCTTTAGAGCTTTGGCTCCAGCTTTGTAGCTTCAGAGCTTTAGACTTCAGCTTTGTAGCTTTAGATCTTTAGACTCCAGCTTTATAGCTTTAGAGCTTTGGCTCCAGCTTTGTAGCTTTAGAGCTTTAGACTTCAGCTTTGTAGCTTTAGATCTTTAGACTTCAGCTTTATAGCTTTAGACTCCAGCTTTATAGCTTTAGATCTTTAGACTCCAGCTTTGTAACTTTAGATCTTTAGACTCCAGCTTTGTAGCTTTAAAGCTTTAAACTCCAGCTTTGTAGCTTTAGATTCCAGTAACCCTAGTGAAATAATCTTTTAATATTTATCGTTTGTTTATGTTTGAACTAAGTCTTCCAATATATTTAACAAAATGAACTGTTTAAGTTCTGGATAAGTTGCTTAGAGCTTTCAGATTAGCTACAGTTTGATTGACTATTCTTTCACCATCAATAACAACCAGAATTTATCAAATTTCAACTTTTACAAACAAAATATACCAGAAAATAAATAATAAAGAGAATAAATTTCACTGATCAGATGAGATCTCTACAAGTTCCGATTTTCTCTTTTCTTTACTCCTCTTTCGTCTCCATTTCAATTCTCTCTCAATCTTCAGTCTTTTGTCCAGTCTTTTCAGAAAAAGATCTATAAAAAACAGAGCTGCTTGCCTTTTTCTTTCGTTCTTTCGCTTCTTTTCTAGTTTCTTTTCCTCTAGTGACATATTTCTGAAATTCCAATAAACTGGTTTGAAATTTGTAAACTTGTAGACTATAATAAATAAAAAAAGATGGTTTAAGCATTAAATTTATATCTCAAAATTGATTTAGAATTGAAGTAACTTAAAAAAAGAACCCGTCCGGTGATGTAACTTGTCCGGAATCCGTTAGAAATGATGAAGAATACTTTTTTTTAAAATAAGCCTTTAGAAAATCGTCTTATTTTTAATTTAAAGGATTTAAAAGAAGAAATTTTTCTCAGAATATTCCTCAGAGTCATATCGTGTAATTTGTGAGGGTTTTCTCTTTTCAATTCTCAATTTCAGTTGTGTGCTCGTCTCTGCGAACTCCCTCGACCGGCTCTTCCACCCAATTTTCTCAGCTCTATTGGACGCGTTACACCACCGGACGGGTTCGTTTTTAAGTTAAGAATTGAAAATTCAAGTTTTAATAGGCACTATTTCAAAATAAATACTTTTAGCCAAATCTCATTTGATCGCTTTTTGGCAGCAGTGAAATTATCGCTTAAAGATCAAGAGATTAACAATAATAATATCCCAATGGGAAGCCTCTATCGAGTGCAGAGTGAAGGCCGTTTGGCGCAAAGGTGAGAAAAATTAGTTATGAAAAGTTTAAGCTCAAATTTAGCAGTCAGCAACATCAAAAGCGATCCCCGCCAATGATGGGAGTTAATGGATTGGATCAACGAAGAGTCATTTATGCATCGAATCCAAATTTGGGTGGACATTCACCAAATTATGAGAATGGAACAGTGATGGCACAATATGGACAAGTTGTGATGAGACCGAAAAAGGTTTTTGACAAATGGAAAATACGAATAATGTGGCACAAAAATACATACCGTAAATACTGTAATAGTACCCCACCCCCCATAATGACGGTGCGGAGTGTTGAGTAGTCTAGCTTCGAACGAGTTTTTCTCGACACTGGTTTATGCTACAATGCGCGCTTAGTTATCAACAAATAGCTGAAATTCAGGGCTATTTTTTGATATCAAAGACGCTTTTTTCATACCAAAGATAATGACGGTGCGGAGTGTCGCGTAGTCTAGCTTTGACAGCGTTTTTCTCGACACTGGTTTATGCTACAATGCGCGCTTAGGTACCAAAAAATAGCTGAAATTCAGGGCTATTTTTTGATACCAAAGACGCATTTTTTGAAAGTACGGGCGCTTTGAAAAAAATGAAATACTAAAAAACTTTTGCGACTACGCGACTGTACGAGGGCGGTGGAGTACTATTACAGCATTTACGGTAAGCACAATTTGTAAGCCATCTTTGTAAGCCAAGGAAAAAGAATCATCTATAGGAAAAAAATAACGAACAACCCAGCTAATGGAATTGAACCCTTGACCCACAGACTAATATACCGGGCTCTTAGCCAGTCAGCCATTGTGCACGTTTTGGAAGCGAATGCAAGAGATAGATCAAGCATAATTTAAAAAAGCAAAAAAGTCTGGTTCATTGTCCACTCAAAATCTAAACAGCACTTATTTTTGAGCACTTAATCAAGCTTTCCATGTCCTTCTTTCAAGTCAATTCTTTAAAAATTTAAAAGCTATAGCAGAATCTAGCCAGATAAGCTAAGATCAAGTCAATCTAGAGTCTTGACTTTGGCTGACCTGGGTCTGGCTGACTAGGCTTTGGCTGGCTTGGCTTTGGCTGGCTTGACTTTGGCTGGCTTGACTTTGGTTGGCCTGGGTCTGGCTGACTAGGCTTTGGCTGGCTTGGCTTTGGCTGGCTTGACTTTGGCTGGCTTGACTTTGGTTGGCCTGGGTCTGGCTGACTAGGCTTTGGCTGGCTTGGCTTTGGCTGGCTTGACTTTGGCTGGCTTGACTTTGACTGGCTTGGCTTTGGCTGGCCTGGGTCTGGCTGACTAGGCTTTGGCTGGCTTGGCTTTGGCTGGCTTGGCTTTGGCTGGCTTGACTTTGACTGGCTTGACTTTGGCTGGCTTGACTTTGGCTGGCTTGGCCTAAAATCGGATGGATCGGATCTAGAAACATTTTAAATTAAAATTATTAAAAATCCAAGCCAAGTTTTATCTTCTGATGTTACTATGCAAATTTTTCTTCATTATGACCCTCATAATCGAAATGGGCGGTAAAAGACATGATGCAAAAGACCAATAAATGGATTTGTTGTGGTTTTTCCCCTTTTCCTTCTTTGCAAAACCCCTTGAGGGGCTCTAATCGTATTAGACCGGAGCGGTATGATTGTCCGTTCCTTGTTCTCTAAAACATTTTTGCACACATGTTTTACGATTTTTATTTACGTTGAATTTTTCTTTAAAACAAAAGGTCATCGAAAAGTTTCCATGGTGGCTGAAAAGTTCTGTGAACTTCTTAAACAATTCTTTTTTGATGGGCAAATATTGAGAAACTTTTTGAACTATAATTTTTAAATTCTCCACATCTTTTTACGTTCTAAACCAGATTTTTGAATTTTTCACAACTCAAACTAACTTGCACTATACAAAAGTTAACTTGTACAAAAGTAAAGATTGAAAGAAGATTTCCGGTTATGAACCCTCGACTTGCTTTCCCTTTTGTTTTCCAGGCAAATGCTCTAACCACTGAGCTATCTGGTATCTTTTTTTACCCATAAGAGTCAACAAATCTTTTTCTATGAAGCACATAGTAAAGCGAATTAAATGCCGCAAATGCAACAAAGATGTTTTATGTAAATTGTTTCTTTCCCCTTGTCCGGCGAGCAACGTCCATTAACGCATATCAAAAAGAAATTAACATCAAAAACTTTTCCCAATAAAGCTAATGAGCTAAAAATCTGGTTTAGAATGTAAAATGATGTGGAGAATTTGAAAATCATTGTTTAAAAAGTTTCTCAATGTTTCCCATTAAAAAAAGAATTGTTTAAGAAGGTAAGAGAACTTTTCAGTCATTCTGTAAACTTTTTCTGTTTCTCAATCTCTTTTCACCTTGCAAAAGCAAGCAAAATAAAAGTCTCAAAAATTTCGGGTTTCGACGGCAATTTTCGTCTATTCCCTCAAGGTCACTTTTTATATAAAAAGAATTTTTTTCCTTTTTAAAATGATTTCAAGTAGTGAGGTAGTGAATTTTTTGTCTAAAATCGTTATTCAGACGACAGTTCGTTCACAAAAGGAAGCATCAAGTGAGCATCGATTACGTCATCCATTACCACCACCTGGACAACCACAGAAAATTGCGGTACCTGGAAGAAGGCCAATGTCAACGAATAGTTACAACAGTGTTGGTAAGTGGAAAATTAGATTTCCTTTTGAAATAGAAAAACACAGAAAGCCATCGAATAGAAAGTTTAAATTTCTAAACTCAAATAGAAAGTCAATATTCTTTTTCTATTTAAAAGTAAAAGCCTGGCTAGTATTTTCAATTGCCGTATTCTCTCTAATAGTAGTGCACTCCGCCGATTTGATGACTATTTTACGGTTTCGTTTTTACTGACTATTGTTATTCATTTCACTGAAAGTTCTGGTAACTTTTTTCTAGTTTTCAAGAAGAGATTCAGGGCTATTGAATGATCAGAATACCGTATTTTCTCTAATAGTAGTGCACCCCGGCCCAAGCTTTGCGGCCAGCCCATCCCCACAGATTTCATCGTCAGCACATTTCCGACCCACATCGATGGTCTGTGCGTTCTCAGTTTCGAGTTTGGCGCCGGTTGCACTACTGGAAATACGGTATATTGAGCTCTACATTCCGCGAAGCCCGCCATTGTAGATACATGTGTCACTCTACCGTATACTCTAATAGTAGTGCACCCGACGGCCGGGGTGACTTTACGGTTCCGTTTTACGGCTGTTACCGTATTCTCTTTTATAGTGCACTCCAACGAGCCGAGTTGATGACTATTTTACGGCTTTCCAAGCTTTTGCAGAAGCTCAACACTCAAATCCCCCACTAGATTTCATCGTCAGTTACATTTTCTGACCCCACATCGATAGGTTCTGATAAGCGGTTCTCGAGATTTCAAACAATTTAGGCAACGCTCTGGGTGCACTACTATTAGAGAGAAAACGTTTTTTCTATTTTTCCTTAATTCTTAAGATTTAGATAATGCAAAATCACAAAATACAGCTTTTTGACTCTACAAATTCTGAAATATTAGTTGAATTGCCTCCAAAATTGGCTACAAGTCATATCACGTTGTTGATTAATTTTCATATTTCCTAGAATAGATTAGAAATACATTTTTAGCCTCATCTGGTCTTGAAAATATCGTGTGGCGAAATTCGGTGATGTCGAGTTCAAATTCCGATTCAACGAGGCGAAACACGATTTGTGAGGAGGATGCATCGCCGAGAATTGTTGGTTATTCGGGGAATGCGTTTGGTTTTAGAAAAGAAAGAATTAGATTCCAATTCAGTATTCTTGTAAAGCTTTGTAATCTGGACCTAAACCAGAAAATTGCGGTTCCTGAGAGAAGGCCAATGTCGACGAATAGTTTACAAAAGTGTTGGTTACAACAAAACCCCATACAATTAACATTTTTTTTTGAATCTTAACAAGTGTTTGCTTGGGTTTATTTAGAGCTAAACTAGCTAAACATAGTTATATACACTAGAATAGTCAATCGAAACTAGTTAACCAGTTTAGCTGTTAATAATTTATACAATACACCTTGTACCACAAATTTTAAACTGAAAACTTTTTAGTTGAATGTTTAAGCTAAATGTTTTAGTTTTATCTTTTAGTTTTAGGTTTTAGTTTTATGTTTTAGGTCTAGTTTTACCTTTTAATTAAAGGTTTAAGCTAAATGCTTTAGTTTTAGTTAAATGTTTCAGTTTTGTTCTTTTAGTTAAATGTTTAAGTTTTAATTTTTAGTTGAATGTTCCAAGTTTTATCTTTTAGTTAAATGTTTCTAGTTAAATGTTTGAATAACCTTGTCTTTTTTTTCAGCTAAAAAGGTTTCTTTCTATAATACAAACTCATAAAGTTCATTAAAAGAGCCAAGCCTTAGCTTTAATTTAACATTTAAATGTAATCTTGCTAGATCTTAAGAAAATTTTAGCTTTAAATAACTGCTTTACCTGCTTTAAATAACTGATTAGTTTATTTGACAAGTTACTGTCCTTTAACATTTAAAATCTTCAGTCTTTCTAGAAGTTAACGATTTTTATTCTTTTCAAAAAAAAAGTGAGGCAAAAAACAGGAGAAACGATTGAAAAAAGCAAAAAAAATATAAAATTGGGATCAAATTTTTGTTTGCCACCGTGCCCGATATCCCGCTTATTATTGAAAATTTGTTGTAAAGTTGTTTAAAGTTGAATTCTCTTGTTTATGGGTAGATCACATTGAGGCCAATTTCCTGAAATTTCCGATCATTAAATCTGATGCTTTTTAGGAAGTACTTGAGAAGTTTATTGTAGAAAAAGAAATGAATGAAAGCTATAGACAAATTACTGTAACTGTAACTGTAACTGTAACTATTACAGTACTGTAACTATTACAGTACTGTAACTATTACAGTAATGTTTGCCTATAAAATTTCTTTTTAAATTTTACCTCTGGAGTGATCTCGAAAGCCCGTTTTCCTGGGCGAAAATGTCCTCGACCCAAAGCCAAACTCCTTTTGCCAGGTCTAAAATAATCATTCAAACTCTAACAATCATTTCTATAACTAAAAATCTTTTAAACAGTTCATTCTATTGAATTAAATTACTATAAAACAGTCTCTATAGGAGCGTCGAGTAGTCTAAGTAGTCGAGTAATCTACTTTTAAACAAACGCTTAAATCTCGGCACCAATACGTTTCTTTCTACTCATTTTAGTGTCAAATTAAAGTAGAAAGAATGAGGAATTTTTTGATATATGACACATATTCTTAACATTAACCAGTGCTTAGAAAAAAGTGATTGAAAACTGACAAAAAAACTCACCTGAATGAAGCTCTTCCCAAAGCCAAACTCCTCTTTCCCGGACGGAATCCCATTCGTCCCAATGCCACTGATCGTTTGCCAGGCCTAGATTTAATTGTAGATATAGATGAGGCATTGATTTTCAAAACTCTCGCACCTGAATGAAGCTCTTCCCAAAGCGAGACTTCTCTTTCCCGGTCGGAATCCCATTCTTCCCAATGCCAATGTTCTTTTTCCCATCTCTCTCTCTTCCAATCCTTCTTCCTCTTCTTCAATCTCTTCAACAATTGCATCAACAGCTTCTTGTGGAATGTTTTCACTTGCCGGTTCCATCTCAATTGATCTTTTCATTGCCATCAGTATCATTCCCTCATCAGGGACCCAAAAGAAAAAAAAACAGTTTTAAAAGATTTGATTTCATTGCTAGACTAGTAGGTTTTTTTCTCATTTTTTCTCAAATCCTTTACTTAACTTCATTTTGAAGATTGCTTTTGATTTGTATTTGAAAGGGAAAACTTTTTAGCTACACTACTGGACAAGAAAAACGATCGTCACTTTCGCGCGTCTGTAACTCCCTTGTCTTTACCGTATTTCTAAATATTAATATTACCATTGTGTAGCCCTTGAAAAGAGCTTTCAGAAAATGTATAACACTAATAGTTTAAACTCAAAGACAACGGAGTTACAGACGCGCGAAAGTGACGATCGTTTTTCAAATATAATATTTCATTGTCGAGTGCTGTAGGTCTTTATCGAGTAATAACTAATAGTAAAACTAGATATTTAACGGTTCGAATTGGGTCGAGTTTTTAGCAAATACTTAGTAAAACTTAATGGCTTTTGAATAGCAAGTAAGAATAAAGATTTGGGGTTTTACATAAGGGAATATGAAAGCATAAAAGCAGCTTTATTTTATAGGGATTAGATTTGGGCCAAGGATTCTCTTCCCGTTTCAAACGGATAAGCTAAACTCCTAGCATTTCTGTCCAACTTTATTTATCAATGAAAGATTTCTAGAAAGACTACAGTCTTTAAAAATCGTTTTTCGTTTTTCAAATATGATATTTCATTGTCCAGTACTGTAGCTTAACAAAGGCTTTGGCAAATGAATGCTTTTGATGTTTAAAAAATTGTAAAGATCTATTCCTAGCTTTACTGTGGATATTTATTATTTAGAGTTTAAAACCTGAATATCTTTATAACCAAAGAAATTGAGATAAGCTCAGTTTTGCTCGACTTTGTGCTAAAATTAAAACCTAGTTTTCTAAGGGAACAGCTTTTGAAGAAAAAGATAAAAGCTATCAATCTACAGGATACGATAGGGTTACTGTAGTGTTTATGTAGTGGCTAATTATCATACAGTAGTCTAATAATCATTATCTACCTGATCAACAGCTGGTGCGGCCAGAGTGACACAAAGGAGAGCGCTCAGAGCGCACAACGCGGCTATAGTGGCCGAGCGCATTGTGCGAATATGCGAATGAAGTGAAAATAAAGCTTTCCTCACCGATTTTATATCCTTTTTCTTTCTCGGGATTACTGTAATCAATGCTCAATTGTATGCTCTCAAAATGAGGCGGGATCTCCGCATATCCTCCAATTTCCCTATTATCCAATTCACGATCCCAGAAAAATTTGTTGACGTTTGAATTTTTAGGAAATTGACAATTATATTTTGTTCTTTTTTTTTCAGGAATATAATCATTTTTTGAAAAGTAATATGGTTACATTTGTGGAATGAAATATGGTTACATTGAGATAATATGGTTATATTGGGATAATATGGCTACATTGGGATAAGATGGTTAGATTGGGTAATATGGTTACATTGGGATACTATGGTTACATTGGGTAATATGGTTACATTGGGATGAAATATGGTTAGATTGGGATGAAATATGGTTAGATTGGGATAATATGGTTACATTGGGATAATATGGTTGCATTGGGTAATATGGTTACATTGGGTAATATGGTTACATTGGGATACTATGGTTACATTGGGTAATATGGTTACATTGGGTAACATGGCTACATTGGGATAATATGGTTATATTGGGATGAAATATGGTTAGATTGGGATAATATGGTCACATTGGGATAATGTGGTTGCATTGGGTAATATGGTTACATTCGGATAATATGGTTACATTGTGAATGAAATTTATAATTTTATAAAGGTTACCAATTAAATGAATTCTTCAAAAATCATTGATTAAATCAGAAAAATGTTGAAGAATTTTATTAGAATAAGTGGGAGTGGGACAAATGCGACCTTTTTTTGCGCACCCGGACATGTGCGCACCTTTTTTTCCGCACTTAGCCCATTAGCGCACCTTTTTTTGCGTTTTAAAAAAGCTCTAAAAAGCTAATATTAACCTATTTCTATTCCTATGTTTCTATGTTTTTCTAGGTAATTTGAGGGCGTAGAATCGAAATTTTGACATATCAGAGCTTGTGGAAACAAACGGACGGAGTTATACAAAGAGAAAAATCGATAATCGATATATCGACAATTTTCTGTAGTTTGATCTAGCCGTTTTGTCTTTCAAATTGGTTCCACACGTTGTTATGTCCGCTCTGTTATGTCAAAATTTGAAATCGACACCCTAAAATTACCTAGAAAAACAACTTTTGAAATAGAAATTGGTTAATATTAGCTTTTTAGAGCTTTTTTAAAACGCGAAAAAAGGTGCGCTACTGGGCAAGGTGCGGAAAAAAAGGTGCGCAAATCTCCGGGTGCGCAAAAGAAAAGGTCGCATTTGTCCCACTCCCAATAAGTACAGCTTCTTCTAGACTTTATCATTTAACTTTTTAATTCAAAGTTTGGTCAAAGTTAAAATTAAAATCATACTTTCTTGTTATAGCTACTACCAAATTTCGCAAAAACCATTTGTTTTTGAGTTTCAATTCTTTGAAATAACTCAAATTCATCAATATAATCTTTTTAGTAACTCTTTTATACTCTTAACTCTTTGATTTGATATTTTTTTATATACTAAACAATCAAATGATTTACGGAATCTCATAGAAAAGAGATAAACATTTTAAAAATCGAATTGATCGAATGAAAATATTCTTAACTTTAGGCGAAACTCTCTGGACTTCATGGGGAAGAGGAGGAGTTGATCCGTCGCGGTCTTGAGACAGCAAATCGACTGACGGAATGGTATAGAGAAAGAAAAGAAACGATTGAGAGAAGGCAACGACTTCTTGATAAAGGATGTGTATCTCTGGTGGGTCATCAAAAAGTATAGACAATCGATTTTTTTGGCTTTTTGCAAAGTATTTCGCTGCAAAGGCGAATGAATTGCTTGTCTAGCATTTATTTCATAGCTGTTGAGGCTTTTTTAGCGTAGATTAATAATGAAATCTTCAGCTTATACGTTTTCTATTTCTAAAGAAGGAAATCCTCTTCACAATCAGAAGATCAGAACACAGGCATTAGTAATAAAGTAGTAAGGAAAAGCTTTCTTAAGATCTAGCAAGATTTAGCTAGATCTAGATCCATCTAAATCTAATTTCTCATACCGGGTAACTCATTTAGTTGAAGTGACTCATTTAATCTGTAAAATTTCGTAAACTCCCATTTCATGATGAATTTTTGTCTGCAAATATTTGATGAACAATCACTAGACAAAAAATTTCACTTTCCAGATTTGATTCTTGAGCGGTTTAAAAGAAAAGCAAATGAAAAACTGACTCATCAATCAGTGATGCTTTCAAATCAAGTAATAAAGGAATTGCAAAGAAAGATTTCTGGAAATGGGATTGAATCCTCGACTTGCTTTTCCTTTTGCTTTCCAGGCAGATGCTCTAACCATTGAGCTATCTGGTATCTTTTAACAAGAGAAGGAAGAGGAAATATAAGGATGAAGAGAAAGAAAGAAAGAAAGAAAAGAAGAAAGAAAGAAAGAAAGAAAGAAAGAAAGAAAGAAAGAAAGAAAGAAAGAAAGAAAGAAAGAAAGAAAGAAAGAAAGAAAGAAAGAAAGAAAGAAAGAAAGAAAGAAAGAAAGAAAGAAAGAAAGAAAGAAAAAGAAGGAAATCCCCTTCACAAACAGATCAGTACACAATCATTAGTAATAAAGTAAGGGATAACTTTCTTAAGATCTAGCAAGATCTAGCTAGATCTAGATCCATCTAAATCTATTTTCTCATACCGGGTAACTCATTTAATCTGTAAAATTTCGAAATCTCCCATTTCATGATGAATTTTTGTCTGCAAATGTTTGATGAACAATCACTAGACAAAAAATTTCACTTTCCAGATTTGGCCCTTTGAGCGGTTTAAAAGAAAAACTGACTCATAATCAATCAGTGATGCTTTGCAAACTCTTTTTTCCGCTTCAATGCCTATTTACGTAACATTTTCTCATTTTCATTTTGCTTTTCTAACTTTTTACTTTCCTGAAAACATCATCACATGCTGAGAATAGTCAAAAATGAGAGGAATTTCAATTTTCAGGGATTTTCAGGGATTTTCAACGGAAATTAGCAATCAGATTTGAACCCATGCTTTTCTGGAATTCATTGAAAAGCTGAAGTGACAAGGGTTTTCAGGATACGGCTGTACACGAGCAAAAGTTGAATTTTCTGAGAGCTCACGTGACAGAGTTGAATCGACGAATGGTTGCTTTGATGGAGACAAGTGAAAAGGGATTCCCAACACATGTCAATCTAAACAAGGTAAAAGATTTCGATAAATCTAGAGCTAAGAATGTTTTAAAGATATCGATTTTGAAGTTTGGCTTATCCTTGATCCTTTAGGTTTATCCAAACTCATTATCTCACTCATTATCTAACCCCTTTTATCCTTTTCTTATATCCTTACTTCCTTACTTATAATTTGTAAGATTTCATATAAGAAATTTAATCTTTAAATCCAGGGTCACATGCCTCAACCCAATGACGATCAACTCGTTTGGCTTCACCGTCAAAATCAACTTCTCAGCAGTGAAGTCACCGAGAAAAACAAGCAACTTGATGAGTTGAAGCGAGCCAGTCAAAGTCTTTCTCATCTCTCATTGAACAGTCATAGAATGTCCCAAATGTCAAATCATAGGTGAGTTTTAAATCAATCATTCTGTGAAGGGAAATCTAGAGTAAAGCAAGTGATCATGTGATAAAAGGAATGACAAAGAAAGATTTCCGGAAATGGGATTGAAGCCTCGACTTGTTTCTCTTTTGCTTTCCAGACAGATGCTCTATCCACTGAGCTATCCGGTATCTTTCTAAAAGCGAAGAAAGAGGATACAAAGGGGAAGAGAGAAAGAAAGAGAAGGCTCGTCACGACCAACTTACAATCTTAGAAGTCCTACCTGGATTCTTGTAATGACAAGTGCAGCAGCGGTTGTTTCCGCTGATTTTTCTTCGGATTCTTTCTGAGCTTGGAGAAGCTGTAAATTTAAAGCTTTTTAAAGCTCTTTAAAGCTCTTTAAAGCTTTTAAAAGCTATAATATCATTTAAAATATGGTTTTGTTTAAATTTTTGATTTTAATTACTTTAAAATCTTCCTTCTCTCCCTCAGCTTCGAGATTCTCAATGTCTCGTCGCAAACTCTGAATATCATCTTCGAGTTCACGAATTCGCGGTATCTCGTATCTTTTAACCAGAAAAGAAAGAGGAAATATAAGGATGAAGAGAAAGAAAGAAAGAAAGAGAAAGAAAGAAAGAGAAAGGAGAAATCCCCTTCACAATCCGAAGATCAGAACACAAGCATTAGTAATAAAGTAGTAAGGAATGGTAGAGAAAGATTTTCGACTCAAAGATAAATAAATTAACACTAAATCTTCAATTTCAAACAATTTCAGACCATCGACCGTTCAAATCCGTCCCTCAGCTTTCGTCCGTCCAGCCACTCATTCAATCTCTCCTCAACATCACTCAATCTCCGCTTCACCCATCAAAATTTATGATACTCTCATGTGATTCATTTAACTCTTTAATGATCATCTATTTACGTTAAAATTCTACTTACTTCCCTTTTCTTTTTCTTTTTTTTGTACATTTCTTTCTAAACTTTGTGAAGTAGGCTAATTTCCGCAACTTTATTTGCAAAACTCACCATAACTTTCTTCTAAGTCAGTCAATCTTTACGATTTTTGTGTCATTTTATTGCGCTTATTGAGATCTACAAAATGACACTAAAATCATAAAGATTGGTTCACTTAGAAGAAAGTTATGGAGAGTTGCACAAATGATCCTGTTGCCGAAAAAAATTTTTCGGAAATTAGCCTACCCCAGTTTACCCCAGGATCATTTGCGCAACTCACCATAACTTTCTTCTAAGTCGGTCAATCCTTAAGATTTTTGTGTCATTTTATTGCGCTTATTGAGATCTACAAAATGACACTAAAATCATAAAGATTGATTCACTTCGAAGAAAGTTATGGCCAGTTGCGCAAAAAATTTGGCGCCAAGTAGCCTATCCAAAATTTTGTATCTCAACACAAATTTTAGCTGCTTTTAAACAAATCTATTTAATAAAGAAATAAATATTCAGCTATAGAACAAAAAAAACAATTAATTATAAACAAAAGTGAAAAGTGATAGACTTTGGCTAGTACAGCTGTGCTAAATTCTGCTCTTTCCATCGTAACCTCAAGCAATGGGGCTTTTTGCCAATATCGAGGGGCCTCTAGGGCTCTGCTGCGTCGTCATGTGGCCAAATAAATGTCCAAAGTGCTCTTTTCTAAAGCGCCTTGTCCTTAAATTTCTCTAAACTGATTTTAAATCAAGTTTAACTATAAAACTCTTTGGGAAATCGAAATTTAAACAAATTTTTTGTAACTATTAGCTCAAGAAATTAGAAAAAAGGTTGCTTTTGACTTATTGTTTTTATTTTTAAAGTAATTCTGATGCTTTTTAGAGTTAAATGCTTGCTTTTACTTGCTAAAAACAATATCAACTTTTCAACAATCCTCTTAAACCAAGAAAAACCGAAAATATCAATAGTTTGTATCTTATCAATTTAGTGTATATTTTTTTTGTTTATTGGTGCATGGATGTTGAATGGATGTATATAAAAAAGTGACCAGGTGTCATTCCTAGCTTTTTTTTAAATGCTTTTGAACTACTTACTCGTTCAGTATCTACTTTTCAACAATCCAACTTTTAAAGCCGAAGCTTGAACACTTGAACCAAGAAAGAAACTTCCGAAGCTATCAATATTTTGTATCTTATTCTAGATTATTTAGTGTATCTTTCCTTGTTTATTGGTATGGATGGATGTTGAATGGATGAGTGACCAGGTGTCATTCCTAGCTTTTTTAAATGCTTTTGCATTACTTACTTATTCAGCATCTACTTTTTAACAATCCAACTTTTAAAGCCTAGGCTTGAACACTTGAACATTAAACACTTAAACCAAGAAAGAAACATTCGAAGATATCAATAATTTGTATCTTATTTTAATTTACTTAGTGTATCTTTCCTTGTTTATTAGTGTGGATGGATGTTGAATGGATGTATATAAAAAAGTGACCAGGTGTCATTCCTAGCTTTTTTTTAAATGCTTTTGAACTACTTACTCGTTCAGTATCTACTTTTCAACAATCCAACTTTTAAAGCCGAAGCTTGAACACTTGAACCAAGAAAGAAACTTCCGAAGCTATCAATATTTTGTATCTTATACTAGATTATTTAGTGTATCTTTCCTCGTTTATTAGTGTGGATGGATGTTGAATGGATGAGTGACCAGGTGTCATTCCTAGCTTTTTTTTAAAAGTTAAATGCTTTTGAATTACTTACTCGTTCAGCATCTACTTTTCAACAATCTAACTTTTAAAGCCAAAGCTTGAACACTTGAACGTTAAACACTTAAACCAAGAACGAAACTAATACAAATTATTGATATCGAAGATATCAATAATTTGTATCTTATTTTAGTTTACTTAGTGTATCTTTCCTTATTTATTAGTGTGGATGGATGTTGAATGGATGTATATAAAAAAGTGACCAGGTGTCATTCCTAGCTTTTTTAAATGCTTTTAAATTACTTACTCGTTCAGCATCTACTTTTCAACAATCCAACTTTTAAAGCCGAAGCTTGAGCACTTGAACCAAGAAAGAAACTTCCGAAGATATCAATATTTTGTATCTTATTTTAGTTTACTTAGTGTATCTTTCCTTGTTTATTAGTGTGGATGGATGTTGAATGGATGAGTGGCCAGGTGTCATTCCTAGCTCTTTCTCAATCCTCACCTATCCCTCTATTCCATTTGACTGTCATTAGCTATTAGTGAATGATGAATAACATTTCATTCAATTTCTTTCATTCCTATAAAACTAGACAAAATTAGGCAATCTTTGCATTTTTCTTTTCTTTAAACAATAAGAAAAATTCTTTCTGATTAGAGAAAACCTTGAGCTTAACACTTGGGTACAAATTGAACAAGTTTACAAGACTGGTAGTCTGTAGATTGTCTGTAGATTACAAGACTCGTCTGTAGAAGTCTGTAGATTGTCTGTAGATTACAAGGCTGGTCTGTAGAAGTCTGTAGATTGTCTGTAGATTACAAGACTCGTCTGTAGAAGTCTGTAGACTCTGTAGACTCTACCAAACAAAACAAAACCCATAAAGCCATCATTTCAAAGCTTTACAACTTTTCCTTTCTGTGTTGATGAGCTTTTTTGGCCCATTTCTTGTTTAAAGCAGAAAAAAGATGGGATCAAGCTCAATTTTTTGCTTTTCCCTTCACTCCCACTCTCTTTTTCTCTTTTTTTCCTAATACTAAATGTAAGATTTTATGTAAAATAACATTTTACATAACATTTAATTTCCTTTTAAATTTTATAAATCACTTTGCAAGCGATCAATGTCAACAATTTCTAGTTGTGTTGAAATTGATCGTTTTTTTTCTAACCGAAAAATTGTTTACTCAGTTGGCACAATTGGCACAAAAGTTGAATGAAAAAGTTACTTGCATACTTGTTAGCTGTTCACTAAGTTACTTGCATACTTGTTAGCTCTTTTTCATTAAGTTACTTGCATACTTGTTAGCTCTTTTTTAAGTTAATTCTTTCATTTGTTTATCTCAAATTTCTGACAATTGCTTTTACAGTTTTATTGCTTCAAAATTCAAAAGGATTTATGAAAATTGGGAAAACCTTAAACACTTAGCATTTCACTCACTTCAAAACTGTACAATTATATGTACATGTAAATAATCTCTAAACTGTACAATTATATGTACAATAACTCTATTGTACTGTACAATTAAATGTACAATACACTTATATGTACCATACAATTATGTGTACAATAATTCTACTGTACTGTACAATTATGTGTACAATAATTCTACTGTACTGTACAATTATATGTACAATAGTTCCTTAAAAGTCCTTTGTACAGTTACTGTTTTCTTTTACATGACTTTTTAACTCAAAGATATCAACATCATCCTTTATTTTTGTTCAACTTTTTCAACTACTTATGTCAATGATTCTATGAAAAACACATGGTTGTGTTTTGAAGTGAAAAAGAAAGAAAGAAAGAAAGAGAGAAAGAAAGAGAGAAAGAAAGAGAGAAAGAAAGAAAGAAAGGAAAGAAAGAGGGAAAGGAAGGAAGAAAGAAAAAGGACAGATTGTCAGCAAAAGAAACGAAAGAAACGTGTGTAGCATTACGTCGAGAAAGAAGGATCAAAATGAAAAGACGAAGAGGAGCATCAAGTGCCTTTTTGAAAGAAGGATCCTTCTCAAACCACTGTTCGTATGAAATTTGCCATAGATCCTTTTCCCCAGAGTCATTCACAAAGACAACTGTGCTTCCTTTTTCTTTTCACAACACCTCAATCTCTTCAGCGTTTTCTCTTAGACTTTGTAAAGTAATATTTTGTCGCTTTAAGATTTACAAGCTAAAATAGCTAACTCCAACTTTTTGAATGATGTTAATTTGCTAGTTTCCAATCAAAATCGATTCCAAATCTGTTTTTTTTTTCGATAAGATTAAGTCAGCTTTTACCTTGAATGATCTGAACTGAATTGGTTGGATTGGCGTTAATAAAAAGTCATCAGAAATATTCTATATCTAGACTTATCTCCAAATGAACATTTTCTTTTTGTTTGAAAATATTTCTGATACTTTTCTGTTTCAAAAACTAGCTTTATTCAATATTTCTTTTCTATTTTTGCCTCTTTTCACTAGAATCAAAAAAAAAAGCGTTTGAAAGCCAGACTAGTTATTTTTCCTAAGCAAAAATCCAATTTTATCCCATCCAGGTATCTTTTAACAGAAAGAAGGTAGGAAAGAACTGAGTAACTTTAGGTAACCGAGAGGAGCGAGAAGAGTACCTAGAAGTAGAGTAAGGGAAAGAACTCTAACCACTGTATCTTTTAACCAGAAAAGAAAGAAAAAAAAAAAGAAAAGAAGAGAAAAAGAAAAAAGAAAAGAAAGAAAGAAGAAAGAAAAAAGAGAGAAAGAAAGAAAAAAAAGAAAGAGGGGGGAGGGGAAAGAAAGGAAGAAAGAAAGAAAGAAAGAAAGAAAGAAAGAAAGAAAGAGAAAGAAAGAGAAAGAAAGAGAAAGAAATCCTCTTCACAATCCGAAGATCAGAACACAAGCATTAGTAATAAAGTAGTAAGGAATGGTAGAAGTCATCAGAAATATTCTAGATCTAGACTTATCTCCAAATGAACATTTTCTTTTTTGTTTGAAAATATTTCCGATACTTTTCTGTTTCAAAAACTAGCTTCATTCAATATTTCTTTTCCCTTTTTGCCTCTTTTCACTAGAATCGAAAAAAAAGCCAGACTAGTTATTTTTCCTAAGCGAAAATCCTATTTTATGCCATCAATTCAACGATTTCTTTTCCAAAATCTCTTCAAATTTATTTACGATTTGATTCTTTCTTGTTCGGTGGATGTTTACTAATCACTTTCCTTCATTTCAGTACCTGTTTACTATCAAAGAGTTACTGCTATTGATTACTTAGTAATCAATAGCAGTAACAATAGCAGTAACTCCTTGATCTCTTAGTAATCAATAGCAGTAACTCCTTGATAGTAAACAGGTACTGAAATGAAGGAAAGTGATTAATAAACAGCGAAAATCCTATTTTATCCCATCAATTCAACGATTTCTTTTCCAAAATCTCTTTCAATTTATTTACGATTTGATTCTTTCTTGTTCAATGGCTGTTTACTAATCACTTTTCTTCATTTGAGTACCTGTTTACTATCAAAAAGTTACTACTATTGATTACTTACCTATTTTTTTCTCTTCCTTGAAAGTTATTACCCTTTTATCAAGTTTTAAAGTTTTAGATGTCCTTTTTAGATGGCGATTGAAAGCCATTCTAGTTATTTTTCCTAAGCCAAAATCCTATTTTATGCCATCAATCAATTTCTTTTCCAAAATCCTTCCAAATTTATTTACGATTTGATTCTTTTTTGTTCGATGGATGTTTACTAATCACTTTCCTTCATTTCAGTACCTGTTTACTATCAAAGAGTTACTGCTATTAATTACTTGCCTATTTTTTTCTCTTCCTTGAAAGTTATTACTCTTTTATCAAGTTTTTATTAAGTTAAAGTTTTAGATGTCCTCTCCACAACCGGTGGAAGAGGAGAGTGAGCAAGCTGGTACATCATTCCAGTCACAAGATGATGGATCAATCAATCAAACAAAGAAAGGAATTCTGAAGAGACCATCGAAAAGTGAACGACCTGAGGTTAAAGATACGGTAAGATTTATTAAATATAAATATGTGTTAAGAATATTATCAACTTTATCTGACTGTTGCATTGTTTTTCAGTTATTCCCATTGATGGGTGCTTATCGACAGTCACCGGATCGATTCCCAGATAAACCGGGTACCCGAATACCAAAGCTTTCCGTGACATGGAGAGAGAAGAATGCAATAGCTGTTTTTGGAGATACGAGTGACGAGAATGCGACTGATTCTGAGAATATGATGAGTGATTTGGGGAATGGACGGCTGAAAGGGTCAGGGAAATTAAAAGAAAATGATAAGATTTATGAAAACTAGTTGCAAGTTTAGGAAAGTTCGTCAAACAGCTATTTTGGATTCTGAAGATGATGGTGAAGAGGGGATGAAGGGGGTAAAGGAAGAAGAAGAACAACAAGCTGAGGAAGAAGATGAGGAAGGAGATGAGGAAGGAGATCAAAGGGTGAGTTGATGGAGAATTGATTAGTAATGATACTAGTACAACAAAGTTACTCTAGTTCAACCACTTGCTCTAGTTCTAGTTACTCAAAAGCTACTCTAGTTTCAATTACTCTAGTTACTCTAGTTCTATCAATTACTCTAGTTCTAGTTACTCTAGTTCTAGGTACTCTAGTTCTAGGTGCTCTAGTTCTAGTTACTCTAGGTACTCTAGTTCTAATTACTCTAGTTACTCTAGTTCTATCAATTACTCTAGTTCTAGGTACTCTACTTCTAGTTACTCTAGTTCTAGTTACTCTACTTCTAGTTACTCTAGTTCTAATTACTCTGGTTACTCTAGCTCTTTCACTTACTCTATTTCTAGGTACTCTAGTTCTAGTTCCTCTAGTTCTAGTTACTCTAGTTCTATCACTCACTCAGTTCAGTTTTAGTTACTCTAGTTAATCTAGCAATGTAGACTAGGAGAGTCAACTTAAGGTAAGCTTTCTAAACCGTACCTGTATCCAATAGCTTAAATAGAGTTTTAAATCTGCATAGCTTGCAATAGCAAGATTTATATTATAGTAAGTAAATGTTATCAATATCTCAAGTCATTTTTAACTCAAGGATGAAACAATGTCTGTGGCTAGCTCTACTGGTAGTGCCAGTTCATCGATTGTTGGTCGATGGTGGGTTGCGAAAGATACAAGGTTGGTAAAAGATATAAATGTGCAAGACTTTAAACTAAAATCCTTTAGATTCGTCCCTCATTGCGTAAAAAGAGGTTGTAAACATTCTGGCCATGAACAAGGAGAATATCTTACCCCAACACAAAGAAAAACTCGAGAAATCGTTGAATTAAAGAAAGAATTGCAAAATGCATTGCAAGAGAAAGATGAAAAGGAAAGACATTTGCAAGAGTTGAGAGCAAAATTGGATGAGGTTTGATTGAAAGAAAAGCTTTAAAATGAAGGTTTTAGATTGAACAATTGAGAGATTCGACAACAACTCTATCTGAGAATCGCTCAAGTGCACAGAGAGAGGAATTTGGTCAATTTGAGAAAGAGAAGAAAGCAATGGAGAGACGACATGCAGTGAGAGTGAATCAACTCGTTCATGAAACGATGCAAGCAAGGTGGGTGGAAATGAGCGTTACTCAAGATTTTAATTTGAATAAATAAAGCTAGCTAGTTAAAATTGGATTCAAAAACTTTCTGTTGATGAATTTATGAACTTTTTCTTGTAGTCTTTTTCTTTTCTTTAAACTTTTCCTACTGGTTAGTTAAAAAATTGGCTTAAACTTGGTTAACTTGGCTAGCTTGGCTTAAATCGATTCTCGAATCGAGTTGAGAACATTCATTTGTAAGCTGGGAAGGTTGCTTAAGCAGCTGAATCTGGGCAGCTAAGGATGGGCAGCTAAAGATGGGCAGCTAAAGATGGGCAGCTAAAGATGGGCAGCTAAAGATAGGCAGCTAAAGATGGGCAGCTAAAGATAGGCAGCTAAAGATAGGCAGCTAAAGATAGGCAGCTAAAGATAGGCAGCTAAAGATAAGCAGCTGAAGATCTCATTTATCTTGTTTGCTTTTAGGATTATAAATATAAAAACTTTTTATTAGAACTTGTACGACTTAAGAAAAGTTTTGGAAAACCGTTTGCATTGAATTTGAAACAAAACTGTTGGCAAACCGTTATCAAACCGTTGGCAAACCGTTGGCAAACGTTGGCAAACCGTTATCAAACTGTTGTCAAACTGTTGTCAAACCGTTGTCAAACTGTTGACATGAACATCAAAAACAAATAGCTTTCAATTTCAGAGAAGAAAACACAAAACTCGCATTGCGCATAAAAGAGTTGGAGGATCGTTATGTGCGAACGAGTCAAGAGGCGGAAACAATGACAGATGTGGTTGGAGGATTTCCCTTTGCAGAAATCACTCCATATGCTCGTCTAGCACCACAAATCTTCACTCATGAGAATTCGGGTTTGTCGTTTTTGTTTTGATCATTATTTTATTCAATGAGTTTGTTATTTCATCATTTTAAGCTTCAACTCTTCAAACAGCGCTTTCTTTGCCCGATATGAATCCGCCAAAGATCGCCATTTCCTCACCAGCCACTCCAATGAGTATTTCGATTGATGGAAGTCGACAAGCGACCTACATGACACAAGATGCAATTAATACTTTACAAGTGAGGTTTTTTAAAAATGATCGATCAAGCTCTAGTCGATCAAGCTCTAGTCGATCAAGATCTAGTCGATCAATCTCTTAATCGATCAAGATCTATTAATCGATCAAGATCTATTAATCGATCAAGATCTATTAATCGATCAAGATCTATTAATCGATCAAGATCTATTAATCGATCAAGATCTATTAATCGATCAAGATCTATTAATCGATCAAGATCTATTAATCGATCAAGATCTAATCGATCAAGCTCTAATCGACCAAGATCAATTAAAAGTGAAATGAGGATCGATTTGTTTAGGTGTTATTAGTGTAAAAGTGGATTATTTTAAGAGTTTTACAGCTAGTTTACAGCTAGTTTAAAAGCAAATTATCTAGATTTTAACGCTTAGAATTGAATTATATTTCATATTTTGAAAGCTAATCCTGTAATTTATACTTTTAAACCTTTTAGGCCTATCAAAACGAGGCTTTCATCTGGAGGAATAAAGCGGCTCAACTAGAAATCATCATTAGAGATCAAATATTGAAAAACTCAAAAGAGGTAAAGAGAAATAAGTAATAACAAGTAATAACAAGTAATATAAGTAAAAAGTAATAAGATAATGATTTCAGGAAACAAGTCAAGAGATTGAAAAGTTGAGAAGAGAGTGTCAACGTTTAAGAGATCTGATTGTGGAAAGAGAAGGAGCGATGATCGATTCAGGAATTGACGCTCCACCATCACCACAACGAGAAACATCAGTGAATCTTTAAAAATACATATCTACAAAGGTTTTTTTAATAAAAAAGAATAAATTTTTAGCATCATTCAAACAGTGGAGAGTGTGCGTTGCAAAATTGTGTTGAAAGAAAGAAGAATCTTATCAACGAGAATAATGCTTTGATAGAAACGGTTTGTTTTTCAGTTTGTTTGTTTTAAAACATTAAAAATAAGATTATGATTTCAGAATGAAGAAATCACATTGCGTATTCGTGAACTCGAAGAAGATATTCAGAGTTTGCGACGAGACATTGAGAATCTCGAAGCTGAGGGAGAGAAGAAAGATTTTAAAGTAATTAAAAGAAAAATTTAAACAAAACAATATTTTAAATGATATTATAGCTTTAAAAAGCTTTAAAGAGCTCTTTAAAAAGCTTTAAAGAGCTTTAAAAAGCTTTAAAGAGCTTTAAAAAGCTTTAAAGAGCTTTAAAAAGCTTTAAAGAGCTTTCAAGAGCTTTAAAGAGCTTTAAAAAGCTTTAAATTTACAGCTTCTCCAAGCTCAGAAAGAATCCGAAGAAAAATCAGCGGAAACAACCGCTGCTGCACTTGTCATTACAAGAATCCAGGTAGGACTTCTAAGATTGTAAGTTGGTCGTGACGAGCCGGAGATTTCCTTCTCTTTCTTTCTCTCTTCCCCTTTGTATTCTCTTTGTTCTCCCTTAAAAAGATACCAGATAGCTCAGTGGTTAGAGCATTTGGTTGGAAAACAAAAGAGAAAGCAAGTCGAGGGTTCATAACCGGAAATCTTCTTTCAATCTTTACTTTTTTACAAGTTAACTTTTGTATAGTGCAAGTTAACTTTTATACGTTTAGTACTTTTGTATAAGTTAACTTTGCATAGACTTTGCATTAGAGTGTATTCCTCCTTTGATGTTAATTCCTTTTTGATATGCGTTAATGGGCATTCATCGCACTCTTATGGGTAACAAGAGGAAAAGATATAACTAATTTTATTATAAAACATCTTCTTGATTGCATGGTGCATGGTGAAAAGAGATTGAGAAACAGAAAAAGTTTACAGAATGACTGAAAAGTTCTCTTACCTTCTTAAACAATTCTTTTTTAATGGGAAACATTGAGAAACTTTTAAAACTATAATTTTTAAATTCTCCACATCATTTTACATTCTAAACCAGATTTTTAGCTCATTAGCTTTATTGGGAAAAGTTTTTGATGTTAATTTCTTTTTGATATGCGTTAATGGACGTTGCTCGCACTCTTATGGGCAACAAGGGGAAAAGAATACTAATTTTATCATAAAACATCTTTTTGATTGCTATTTTGATGTCTTTGCTATTTAATTTCGCTTTTACTATTAATTGTAAGCTTTCATTGAGAAAAAAAAGTATTTTAATGTAATGAAGTAGCAGGCGATAAAATGAGTGATTTTCCGTTTCCGTAGGAATCAAGATTACATTTATTTTATAAGATTTTATTAGAATCTTTGATGTATTGTAGTACAGGAAGTCTTAGTCTCCTTTAGAGTGTGTTCCTCGTATACATTTCGAGTGTCCCCCCCCCCTGTGTCCCCCTTTTGCCCCCCTAAGTGTCCCCCTCAAAGTGTCCCCTTTTTGTCCCCCCCCCCTAGTATCCCCCTAAATTTTTCCGTTTAAGATGTTTCGAGTTCGATGCATTTGCCGATCATTGAGTTGAAAAAGTTAAAGCACATTTGGAGAGCAAAAAGTTGTGATTTGATATGAAAAAAAATAGGGGGATACTAGGGGGGAGGACACTTTAGGGGGACAAAAGGGGACACTTAAGGGGGCAAAAGGGGGACACAGGGGGGGGGGACACTCGAAATGTATAGTTCCTCGCGAGTAATGCGTTTTTTAAAACGCACACTTGGGAAAAAATTACCGTACTTTTAGCAAAAATTATTGCAAAAAAAGACGAGCCATTATATACGACACTTTTTAAAGATACTCAACCGTTTAACTGATTTGGTGGGAAATTCCCTTCCAATGTCAAAAATGATTTTTTTTTTGAAAAATCTGCGCAAAAAATTGCTTTTATACCTTTTTCGCGCAGGCGCACTTTTTCGAAAACGCATTACTCGACAATTACTCGAGCTGCTACCCGAGTAAAAAATTACTCATGCAAATTTTGCTCGAGTAATTACTTACTTACATACTCGCAAGGAACACACTCTACTTTGCATAGTCTTTACATAGTCTTTAGATAGTCTTTATACAGTATTTTCCATAGTATTTTCCATAGTATTCTACGTTTTTTTTACATGTTTCTTTAGGGTGAAAAGGAAACAATGCAAAAGGCGATTTCTTATATGGAGGAACGAATGACCGCCTATCAAAACGTTATCCTCGAGAATGGATTCGTGGTTCAAGATGAAGAGACTCACAATTGGAGGAGAGGGTTCTCGAATCCAAAGTATGATTGTTTAAAATCAAATTCCTAATGTACTTGATGCCTAATGATTTAGATTAATGCCAAAAATCAAAAACCATACTCTCAATTTCGATTTTCTTTAAGCTATTCAATAAAATAAACAAAATCAAGTAAACTAGGTATGTTTTAGATTAACTGAGCACAAAATACACTACAAAAAAGATACTTCTATTCATTTTCAATTCCTTTTTTCTTAGATACATCACCGCTCAATCGAAGAAAACTCAAACAACTCTAACATCAGAGGCTTTAAACAAACACATGGATGAATTTGATAGTGTTCAGCAGAAGTTAAAGGTTGAAAAAGCTATTTTTCATTTTAAAAATCATTTTTTGCAGAACTTGAGTGATGAGTTCTCAGCTAAACGAACCGATTTCTCGGATCGTTTCTCGGAAATTGAGGCCAATCTTGTGACAAAGACGAAACTTGTTGAGACATTAACAAAACAATTGGATGATGTGAGGAAAGATCAAAGATTGGCTTTAGATCAACATCAAGTTGTGAGTTTTATGCTTTAAGAATTAAAAGATAGAGATTTAAGCAAGTTATGTTCAGGAAAGAAATCAGTACAAGAAATCACTCGAAGAGATCGCGAAAGTTGCGGGAAGAGTTCCGAATTTGGAGACTCAAGTCGAGCAGTTGCAACAAGTAAAAACATTTGATTTATAAATTGGTTTATAAATTGGTTTATAAATAGATTCATAAACAAATTTATAAGCAGATTCATAAGCAGACTTATAAGCAGATTTATAAGCAGATTTATAAACATTTTTATAAATAGATTTATAAACAAATTTATAAAAAATTATCTAAATTCTCAAAAGTTTATATTAGGTTGCCCGTCTTTGAACACTTCATTTCAAAAGCTATTTAGAAATAACCAATTCACTCATTGATCTACGGTTTGCTCCTTTAGAAAAACCTGTTATTTTTCTATATTTTTCTATAAAAATCGTTAAAATCTTAAGAAATCTTTTGTTTCTAGTTTTTTATTTGAAGGTGTAAACTCGGCCATTCAAAAAGACTCGATTTAGACACTTTAGTTAACTATGAATACTTTTGGATTTACAACTCGATTTTAGGCCGAGATCTAGCATATCTTGTGCAATCTTTTTGCGCTGATTCTGATCGTGTGTTGTTTGGAAATGACGGTTTTAAAAATTTGAGATATTTCGATTCAAAGTTTACTTCAAAATTGAGCATCCACGAGTCATAAGGGTTCTACTAGACATAGTTTTGGATCGAATCCGATCCGATATCTAAGTGTCGTGTAACTCTATTTTAACATTACAAATAGAAAACGTTTTCTAATTAGTTTTTACTTGCTGTTGAGTAATGAGTTTACTCTAAGCTGAAAGCTGTAAAGCGAGCTGAAACAAAGCTCTAAGTAAAATAAACAAAATCTTATCAAAATCAATATTTAGATAACCAAAAAGCCTGGAAAAACAGTTTTTAGCAATAGAAAAAAGTTGAACCGCAACTGGATTTGAACCAGGGGCAAAAAGAGCAAGAGCTCTATGCCACTATGCAGTAAGCCACGTGGTCATGTTTACAAAACCATGTTTACAAACCTCTGTAGAACCTTTATGACTTGTGGATGCTCAATTTTGACGTAAATCTCTCAAAATTTAAGAACCATCATCAGGATGAGCGCAAAAAAACTGCACAAGACATGCTAGGCTCAAAATCGAGGCGTAATAAAAGTTTCCCTAATAAGGAAACCTATTTTTGTATCAATAGATAAAAGATGAAACGTAAAAAGTTAGATTTACAACGAAATTTTCACAGAAATTCATTCAGCCAAGAGGTTTTTCTAGATTTTGACGTAAAAACAAGTTTTTATGCTTGAATTTTCTTGGAAATTGGCTCAGATTAGAGAAAAAAGATAGAAAAGTGTCGATTAAATATCTTCTATTTGAAGAAAACTGTAGATCAATTGGTAAACTTTTAAAGAAATTTGATCAAAAAGTTTTCAAAGACTGAATCGTTTGCAAATTTTTAGGAAAAGAGTGAATTTGGTGCGAGATTTAAAGAAGCAAAAGAGGAATATGAGAAAGGATTGGAAGATGCGTTGTCGGAATCATTGAGAAAGTATCAAGAACAAAGTCAATACTGGAAAGACAAATGTGCTCAGTTTGAGAACACGATCAGTAAATTGAAAGTAATTGAAGATATGAGATGAAAAATGAACTTATCTTTAGAATGAGATCACTCAATTGAGTCGAGAAAAGGACGAGGTTCGAGTGAAGAATAAAGTGGATCGAGCCGAGTTGGAGCACCGATTGGCGAGCAGTATTGAGCACGCTTCACAAATGCATAAAGCGGTTAGTTTAAAAAGTACAAGAAGTACAAGAAGTACAAGAAGCACAAGAAGCTCAAGCAGTTCTAGAACTTCTAGAAGCAATTCAAGAATTCCTTCAACGCTAGATAACGTTTATGATCTTAAATGACTTATCTAAACTCTTCAGTTGCATAAAAATCAGCGAGACGTTGAAGTGGAAGCAAAACCGAGACATACAAGCAAGTACGTAGCTTGCAGGCCGAATGTAAAAGAGAAGGGAACTGCTATTGAGAAGGTAAAACAACTTTCAGCAATCAAATAGGAAATTACTAATATAATTTTTGAAATAGAACAAATTATTAATCATAATTTACTATAAAAACTGGCTCTTCGTTTATTCGAAACTTTTGAAGAGTTTTAAATGTTTTTGATAGCTATTGGGTTAGTGAATTGAACACTACGGGACTTTATACTAAAATTTATTCAACATAAAACCATAAATTGATTCCAAATAATTTCCATTATTATTGACGACTTCTGCCAATTTTACAGGCAATTTGCGGATTCCTCTTTCGTAGTAGGATTTTGGTTTGTGTATGAGACAAGTGTTAGACTCAAAAATGGAGGACTCGAGATGTCCCAGTTTGAGCATTTGAGCACTTTCTTCAAAAGAAGCCCATTTTGGTGTCAATAGAAAAGTTGTAGAGAATCAAAAATTAGGCTCATAGGCTTACAGCTAAACTTTTGCAAGTTTTTAAGACCTTCTTTACTTTTTTATACTTTTTATACTTAAAAACTTTTTAGGGAGATTTGTTTGATGAGTACGAGGAGAGGCTAAAGCTTTGTCAGGGCGAGTTGAGCACAACAAGACGACAAGTTCACACTCTACAGCAGAAACTATTGGATATGATGAAAGAAAAGGTTTTTGAGCTTTAAAATCATTTTAAAATCTTTTTGCATCAATCGTTCTCTTGAAATGCTCAAAATTTGAGACTTTTTTGGGGTAGGCTAGTTTCCGCAATTTTTTTTGCGCAACAGGGTCGTTTGTGCAACTCGCAATAACTTTCTTCTAGTTGCACTTGTTGAGATCTACAAAATGAAACCAAAATTATAAAGATTGGTCCACTTAGAAGAAAGTTATGGTGAGTTGCGCAAATGAGCCAGTGAGCAACAGGGTCTTTGCGCAACTCGCCATAACTTTCTTCTAAGTGAACCAATCTTTATGATTTTTGTGTCATTTTGTAGATCTCAATAAGTGCAATAAAATGACACAAAAATCATAAAGATTGACCGACGTAGAAGAAAGTTATGGTGAGTTGCGCAAATGACCTGGGTAACGTGGCTAATTCGAAAATTTTTCGGCCAGGTGCCCTCCTCTTTCTTGTGACCATCTTTGATTTTGTGTCTTTTGTAGATCTCAATAAGTGCAATAAATGACAAAAATCTAGTTGCCGCGGTGGTGGTTGCGGAAACTAGCCTACCCCACTTCTTTCTCTAAATCGTCGACTAAATAGTCGAATTCGATTAAAGTTTAGAGATTTAAAGCATTCAAATGTCGAATTCAATAGCTTAAAGGCTTAAATTCATTTCATCTTCTTTAATCGAAAATATTTAAGAATGAACGCCATCGATCTCGTCCAAAAATTGCTGGTGTTCTCACAAAAAGTATCGACATTGATGATTCGGAGTTACGATGCGAAGATTTCGAATATAAACCTGAGCTTTCAAAAGCTACAATTCCTGAGGTCGATGAAGAAATTCATGAATTAAAGAAGAAAAATGAAAGACTTCATGAAAAAGTAGCTTTTATATTAACGAGCTTAAGAAATTGAAGTTTTAGATTGGAGAAATTGAAGCAGAGAAGAATCGTTTAGTCAAAGAGGAAAGAGCAAGGATACAACAATTAGTGGCTGAATTTGATAATGTTCGAAAAGAATTGGATCAGGTAATATAATATATACCGTAAATACTGTAATAGTACCCCAACCCCCTCGTACAGTCGCGTAGTCGCAAAAGTTTTTTAGTATTTCATTTTTTTCAAAGCGCCCGTACTTTCAAAAAATGCGTCTTTGGTATCAAAAAATAGCTGAAATTCAGGGCTTTTTTTTGATACCTAAGCGCGCATTGTAGCATAAACCAGTGGCGAGAAAAACTCGTTCAAAGCTAGACTACGTAACACTCCGCCCCGTCATTATGGGGGTGGGGTCCAATTACAGTATTTACGGTAAGCTTAGAACTTTAAACTTTAGGAAATTTCCCGCTATGAATCGGAGAAGAAATGGCTGAAGAGTCGAATTAATAACCTTGAGAAAGCGAATACTGAATTGGAGAGATTTAGGGAATCTATTGGTTTGTCAAAGTTTTCCGGGGTAGGTTAATTTGCGCAACTGGGTCTTTGCGCAACTCTCCATAACTTTCTTCGAAGTGAACCAATCTTTATGATTTTTCTGTCATTCTGTAGATCTCAATAAGCGCAATAAAATGACACAAAAATCATAAAGATTGACCGACGTAGAAGAAAGTTATGGTGAGTTGCGCAAATGACCGGAAAAAAATGCGGAAATTAGCCTAGTTTTCAAGTTAATATTTTTAATATTATTTTTAGTTGATAAAAGCCCGACAATAATGCCAAGATTATCAAAAGATGAAAAAGAGAAAATGATGAGAGAAGAAAAGATTCGGAGAACATTTTCGGATACAGATTTGCATAGTGATATTGAAGCAGAAGAAACGACAAAGTTGAAGAGTGAAGTGGCTAGACTGAATAGGTGATTGTTTAGACTGTAACTATTGTACTGTAACTCTTGAAAGATCATAATCCTGTAAAGGTAAATAAGTTAAATAAAGCCTATAAAGCCTAAGGAAATTTTCACTTTTCAGTGTGATATAGCTTTTGTAACACTCCTTGATGGCTCTAATGCAAAAAATACCTATCAGAGTAGTAGTAAGAATGTTACAAAAAGTTTTATTCTAGAAAAAAAAAATCGCAAAAGTCAAACTGAGTGGCACTACGGGGGGTCGAACCCGGATCCTGTGGGCTGTCGAGAACCCCGCTTCCGACTGCGCCATAGCGACCAACGAAAATTCGCCTAACAGCGGGTTTTTCTAGCTGGATGTTTTTGGGCCAACGACATGTCGCTGTGGCGTAGTCGGGAGTGCCCTTATCTGCAGCTCACATGATCCTGGTTCGACCCCCATAGTGCCAAATAATTTCGATTTTTAAAATTTTTAATTTTAAATGATATAACTATATTAACTTTTGAGAGTTTTTTAAAAGCTTCAGCTTTTTTTGGCTTAAAGATAGCTGAGAAAAAGTCAATAGAGATGGACAGACACTGCTCTTTTCTGTGTGTTACGTTCGATCTAGAAATCCGTTTGATCGAGACTGATTCTAGATTGGACGTCCGATCTAGAGTGAAGTGAAGTCAAACGTTCGATCTAGAATCAAGCCGATCACTCTAAATCCGCTCCAGACTTAGATTTAGAGTGATCGGCTCTAAATCTAAGTCTAGATCGGGTCTTTGATCTCACTTCACTCTAGATCGCACGTCCTATCTAGAATCAGTCTAGATAGGACGTAACATCTATAGTAGATAAAGGTTTTAATACGTAATTCGTTATAGAGAGCTGAAAAATGTGCATAGCAGCATCACGAGGACTGCATCTGTTGCTTCAGAGGCTAGTCGCGGAGCAAGAAGTGGTTTCAGTCCAGCATTCCATACTCTCGTTGAAGATATTAATATGGTAAGACAACATGTTTTCCATGAAGATTCACTCATCACATCTTCATCTTTTCAATTTCTATACCGTTACATAGCTTACAAAGTCTGAAATGACAATGAGAATGATTGAGAAGACAACAACATTGTTGCTGACAAGTCTTCTTGCCTTGATTGCTGTTAAATGCATCTCAAAAAATCACGTTGGGCTGTGAAAACTTGATTAGAATCTAGACAAAGCCTTAAGTTGGCCTTAAGTTTGCCTTAGGTTCGCCTTAGGTTCGCCTTGGGTTCACCTTGGGTTCACCTTAGGTTCGCCTTGGGTTCGCCTTGGGTTCACCTTGGGTTCACCTTAGGTTCGCCTTAGGTTCGCCTTAAGTTTGCCTTAAGTTCAATAAATTTTAGGTCAAAGGAAATCTAGAGAAGATTCTCGTTCGAATCGATGATGAAACAGTTCCATCAACGTTTGAAGTTTCAGCAAAAGTCGTCAAACTTTCCGAAGAGGAAAACACCCATTCAGTCAGTTCTTTAGCAAAATTTTTCTATTCCAATGATGTTCAGAGTGTCGAATCACTCTAATCTCACAATATCACGAAAAATTTTACACATTGCAAATGTAAGAAAAAGGTGTTTAAGTTAAAATCTTGCACGCGTAACTCCCAAAAATCTATTTTCTCACTGAAAAAGAATGCGGTTTTCTTATTTCTTGAATACAAAAAAAATGCTGTGTTCTTTTAAAAGAAGATTAGATTGAAAAATGTTTTCGACTTTAAAACAAGCTTTTTCAGATATTGCTTGAAGAGGTGGTGAAAGATTGGGACACAGTGAACAATACGAGTTTAGCAAAGGATTTAGCAAGATCAAGACAAGAAAGGCAAACGCTAAAGGTGAGGTTAAAATTAAATCATAGGAAAAAGCGTAAAGTTTTCTTGAAAAAAAGTAAAATTTAAGTTTAAAATTGAAGTTAAATTGATTCAAAAACTTCAAATCATTTAGAACAAAGTCAATTTTAAAGTTTAAAGTGCATACTTTAGTTAGACAGATAGACTCAAAATTTTTGATCTTAAATCTCTTAGACACCGCCGCTTGATCACGGATTTAATAGAATGTTTCAAAACATGTAAAGGGCAGGCAACCTATCCCTCTTTTTCGAGATTTATTCAAAGTTCATCCCATGGTTAGTTCAAGGAGAGATTCTTTCGTTTTAGAAATTCCAGTCACCTCCAATAAGTTTGTTTATAACTCTTTTCCAATAAGAACTCCCAGAATTTGAAATCGACTCGAGTTTTGAGAGAGTCCAATAGTCTCGAAACCTTTCAATTATCTGTAGATGATCTTGATCATGAAGCTCTAGTGGATCCTTGACGTTATCTGTGCTACCCAGATATTACATATACAGGGTGACCAAGAATTACCGCAACAACTGTTTGGAAAAGTATCTGACAAATGCCTAACTTATTTTAGAAGTATCAAGTGTTATATAGAGAATTGTAGCCCTAATTCTCGGCAACATTTATCTCCCAAAAACTTCCCGATTGGACTTATACAACTCATTTAACAAACGCTTGAATGAGCGCGAGTCGACATCTCTCCGGCGAATCTGTTATTTGGCCGCTTTTCTACATCAAAAAAATTTCATTCGGGAAAGTTTTTCTCAGTCAAATTTGTGGTAATTTTGTTCAAAAAAAAATTATTTTCAACAAATTTATAGTGCCAGAAAAGCTGATATAACGAAATACCCATATGAACTGAATATCGAAAATACTCAATTTTCCCTGCTCCTCCAAAAGGAGCTTGACATCAACTTAAATTCCTGGTTATTCCAGTTCAGCCAAAATAGTTAAGTGTAATTCTTAATGTTATTAAGTGATGTTAAACGATATTTTTGCATGGAAGAAATATTGAAAAGATCTTCTTAACAATTTTTAATAGAGAAAAGCGGCCAAATAACAGATTCGCCGGAGAGATGTCGACTCGCGCTCATTCAAGCGCTTGTTAAATGAGTTGTATAAGTCCAATCGGGAAGCTTTTGGGAGATAAATGTTGCCGAGAATTAGGGCTACAATTCTCTATATAACACTTGATACTTCTAAAATAAGTTAGGCATTTGTCAGATACTTTTCCAAAAAGTTGTTGCGGTAATTCTTGGTCATCCTGTATTATATCGTGTTGCTATTTATTGGCCCTTTTCGTGTTATGTGTATGAATTCATATGTTTTAATCTTAAATCTAGCGCACTTTATTTCAAAGTCCTGAATAAAGTACCTAATATATAAAGTTTAAATTTTAGATTCACAACGATCGTTTGACTAGAGAACTTTCTCAAGCAAACAATGAACTCTTTTTGCTGAGAAAAGAGCCAATAAATGCATGCACAGATGCTGAATATCGACCGATGAAGAGAAGCAAAAGTACAATGGATTTGGGAGAGACATCGGAGGATAAGAGAGAATGCAAGAGGTAAATGACATAGCTAAAGCCAAGCTACAATAGCTATATAAAAAGTTTAGATGGCAAATAAAAGCTGGCACACTTTTCCGTGAGGTTCATCGAATGCGAAACGAATACTCGGATGCGTTGAAAGATAGGAGAGAATTGAAGGTAAGTGTAACTGAAGGTAAGGTACACTACTGGACAACGAAATATCATATTTGAAAAAAGATCGTCACTTTCGCGCGTCTGTAACTCCCTTGTCTTTACCTTATTTCTAAATATTAATATTACCATTGTGTAGCCCTTGAAAAGAGCTTTCAGAAATGTATAACACTAATAGTTTAAACTCAAAGACAAGGGAGTTACAGACGCGTGAAAGTGACGATAGCTTTTCAAATATGATATTTCATTGTCTAGTGCTGTACCTAATAAAAGAAAATGATAAAACTATAATTGTAACATTTACAGTATCATGTTTAATAGTACCAAAAAAGGAATCGAGTCACTTTAGGGACAAGTTGGTGTTTAGTGTGGTCAAAATAGAGTTAGCTTCCCAAAATTGAACGTTTATAGTGAAAAATGACCCAAACGGTCATTTTTCACTATATAGTACACTAGAAGTGCAATTTCAAGTACAAAGTACACCTTTTCTAACCTTTTCTTGAGCTACACTACCGGATAATGAAATATCATATTTGAAAAAAGATCTTCACTTTCGCGCGTCTATAACTCCCTTGTCTTTACCGTATTTCTAAATATTAATATTACCATTGTGTAGCCCTTGAAAAGAGCTTTCAGAAAATGTATAACACTAATAGTTTAAACTCAAAGACAAGGGAGTTACAGACGCGCGAAAGTGACGATCGTTTTTCAAATATCATATTTCATTGCCCAGTACTGTAACTGTAAAGCTACAGTAAAACTTTAAAATTCAATAACAAATCAAAAAATTTGTTAATAATTTTAGATTCAACTCGCTATGTTGAGGGGAGAACTAGAGTTGACGAGAATTCAGCTAGCGGAACAACAGAGGTGAGGCAGTATCCTTTGAACAGTCGCTAGCGATTCTTGAACTATGTTTTTTAGGCTTTTGAAATCTATTTAAGATCAAGTGTCAAGTGTGGAATCTATTTTAAGAAAAGCTTGCAAATTTCTTGTACTTTCTGGTCTTTTTCTGTATTCTAGAGGTTTCAGAAGAAGTCCAACCTCTCTACTCTCACATTCCTTTATTTTGAACCGAGATGGTCGAGATATGGTTAAAGAAATGAGCGTCCCGTTGCACTTTGAGGAAAACGATTTGAAACTTACCAACAAATCGACTCCAACTGGTAGTCAGGTAAGTAAAATCTTTCAATTTTTGCCTAAAGAAGAGAAACGATAGTTTTCCCTTTGTAAATTCGATAAGATTTGGAGGAAATTGATGAATAGAAATGAACTATTGGGTTGGTGGAAAAGTACTTTCCGATTTTTTTGGGAGAGTACCTTAAATTTGTCCAATTTTGACGTTTTATAGCTCATCCCATCCGTTTTATAGCTCATTCACAAGTAAAAATTTAACCAAAATTCTTTCTAGATTCTTGTTGATAAGGTTGATGACATTTATCTCCCAAAAACTTCCCGATTGGACTTATAAAACTCATTTAACAAGCGCTTGATTGAGCTGATAGTCGACATCTCTCCGGCGAATCTGTCATTTGGCCGCTTTTCTCTATTAGAAATTGTTAAGAAGAGCTTTTCAATATTTCTTTAATGCAAAAATAGCGTTTAGCATTGCTAGTGATCAAGAAATGAACGAACAAACGACGATTTTTTTCTGTACACCCAATAAGATTCTTCTTTTCACATTTTCACAAGTAAAAATTCAACAAAATCAAAATTCTTTCTAGATTCTTGTTGATAAGCTTGATGATTCTGAAATCAAACGATCAAAAGGACTAGCCAGAAAGGACGAGCCAGAAAAACGGCATTCAATTACTGAAAAGGTTTCCTACAATATTCGATTGACGAGAGAGGATTTGAAGAATTTGGACAAAAGAAGGAAGTGAGTTGAGCTTTTCGTTTATTGAATCAAAATTTTAGACAAAAGCGCTCTGAATCTGCGCATTCAGCGATTGATCAAGGAATGGGCATGAAGCAATCACCGATTCGAGTAAATCAAACAGAACTTGAAAGAATAGAACGAGTTTTAGGCTGCACCACTACAGAAGACCAAGGCAACCACAATATTGTGAGTTATCTGTGTGAAAAATTCTCCGCTAAACGAACACAAATAGACTAGATCGCTTGAGAAAAGATTTTCTTGGGATGGGACGTTTCGGAAGTCTTGGGTACTACATACTAGTACTGCTACATATTACAGTACAACGGTGCATAGCTAGAGCACTGTTACAAAGTATTACAATGTATACTATGTTCTACATAGAATTCTATCAGTACTTAGTACTATGCATTGCTAATTACTGTCCTGTCCCGCTTTGTAGACCGTGCCTAGAATAGAATTGACCCAGAGTGGACTTGGCCCGTTCCATAGACCATGTCTAGAATAGGCTTGGCCAAACTGTGGACCAGACTTGGCCCGTCCTGTAGACCATGTCTCGAATAGAATTGGCCCAGAGTGGACTTGGCCCGTTCCTTAGACCATGTCTAGAATAGACTTGGCCATTGATCTTTGTACCGTATCTTCAAAAGCTCTTACGGACTTACCTACTTGGATAAACGTCTAACAATCCGTAAATAAACTTGGCCTAGAGCTAGAACTCACTCAACCCTTTTGTCAAGTTAGATTCTCAACAATTCTCAACAACAAAAAACAACAACAATAGATTTAGACCCCAATGTTCGATGAGTCAATCATGGCATGCCGAGAGAGACAAAGAGATCTCAGTCTCCGATCAAGAAGCCCAAGAACCGCCTGTTAGAACAATTCACTTACGAGAGAAGGTAGCAGAATTCAATCATTATGAAACACATTATTGAAATGAATTCCAGGTAAAGTCTCTCACCAGAGAAAACAAATCACTCAAGGACAAATTGGAAATATTAGAAAGAGAGGTTTCTTTCACTTTTTTTTTCTTTTTTAAATCAAATTTAGAAAGGTAAAACTCCACTTCCGGTTCAAATCGTGATTCCAAATCGATCGAGTCAAATTGAAATACTTGAACAAGAGAATAAGAAGTTGAAAAGGGAATTGAAAAAGAGAGATATCTCAGCGACACCATCGATTACGGTAGGTTGAGGTTGAGATGGTGATAAGAATACAAATTTAGAATGGTTCATCAACAAGTTTGGATGCTGATTTGCATAGAAAAGTTGAAAACGTGAATCCGTTGCGAGCAGAGATCGAGAAGTTGCAGAATTTGATGGTGAGTTTTTTGAAAACTTACTCGTTTAGCTTTTAAAACAGCATTTGATCTAATGTATTCAAGATTTTTAGCCAAGTGGTTAGCAATCTTGGCTAATGTTCTAAAGAGCAATGGTTCGATCCCGGCTTTAGTTACAAAATTTTAAACTTAAAACTCAATTCAAAACTTTAAATCTGAAAGTTTAAATGGCTGAAAAGTTTAAATCGTTTATCTTTAAAGTATTGCACAATAGATAACTAAGATAATGTCAAAGATTTGTCGTAACATGTTCTTTTTTGAAGCAGAAGCTATTTGAAGGTCTAGAGGAGGATGGGGAACAATGAGGATAGAATTGTTGGGCAGTGCTGCCCCCCCCCCCCTCCCCCCCTCTTCCCCTTAAGCATTGCCTGGCTGTTGCAAGTTTGTCGTACATGTTCTTTTGGCGCTTTTGGGCTAGGGGGTGGGGACGGGATAGAATTGTTGGGCAGTGCTAGTCCCGCCTCTTCCCCCACTCTACTCCCTTTAACTTCCCCCATTTAAAGTATTGTAGAGATAGATAACTAAGATAATGCCAAAGATCTGTCGTAACATGTTCTTTTTTGATGCAGAAGCGATTTGAAGGCCTAGGGGAGGATGGGGAATAATGAGGATATAGAAGGGGGTGTTGGGCAGTGCTAGTCCCACCCCTTCCCCATTCTACTCCCTCTATTCCCCATTTAACTAGGATAATACCAAAGACTAGATAACTAGGATAATACCAAAGGTTTGTCGTAACATGTTCTTTTTTGAAGCAGAAGCGATTTGAAGGTCTAGGGGAGGATGGAGAACAATGAGGATATAGAAGGGGGTGTTGGGCAGTGCTAGTCCCGCCCCTTCCCCATTCTACTCCCTCTATTCCCCATTTGGATCCATCTATAGGGCTTTATTCCAGCTTGTGCCCCTTTTTCACCTCACCTTTCACCACATTTTTACCTACAATTTGCTCTTTGGCTCTAGCATTTTTTGGCAGTGGCTGTTTCAACGATTTTTTTGCTTACTACAGCTTTTAAATTTCACCAGGCCTACAGCTTTCAAATTAGCCTGGAATTTCAACCTTGTTCGCCATAATTTTGCTCAAAAACTTTGGCTTTAGCTTGGCTTGATCTGGAATTTACAGGGAAAATTGGTTTGGCTTGGCCTTGGCTTGAAAATTTGGCTTTTACCAACTCTGGTCCAGGTTGTACCCCATTTACACCTAGTCAATTTTGTGCCCAAAACTTTGATCTAAGATTCTAGAACGAAAACTTATCCCTATTGGAGCAACACTCACCATTTCACATTTCCCCACCTCGCTTGTGTGATTTCCAATTTTTTTTCCACTTGATTAGCCCCTTCATTGCCATTGCCACCCCATATATTGACCCGAGTCTCTCTCTTTTTCTTCTAGACTCTCTCTTTTTCTTCTAGACTCTCTCTCTCTTTCTCTTTCAGTCATCCAATTCGGACACAAATTCTTTATTCATGACCTCTCTCGGCTTGATGCAACATGTTAGGGTTAGTTTTGAACTTAAAAAGCTTTCTCAATTGTTTGGTTAAGTAAAAGCAAAGTTTTAGACGATTTTAGGGTTAGTTTTTGACTTAAACAAACAATTGAGCAAGCTTTTTAAGTAAAAGCTAAAGTTTAGGCTATGTTAGAATTAGTTTTAAACTTAAAAAGCTTGCTTAATTATTTGTTTAACTAAAAGCTAAACTTTAAGTGATGCTAGGGTTAGTTTTTGACTTAAAAAGCTTGCTCAATTGTTTGGTTAAGTAAAAGCGAAGGTTTAGGCGAGTTAGAATTAGTTTTAAACGTAAAAAGCTTGCTTAATTATTTGTTTAACTAAAAGCTAAGGTTTTAGGCGACATCAGCTTGTGATGAGTCCTCAGAGGCCACGTCGGCTGATTTAAGGGATGAGAATGATCGGTTGAGTCGAGAGAATCTTCAGCTCAGATCTCAACTACATGAAATGGTAAAGATTTACTTGTTTATTTAAATATAGAATTAAATTTAAATTCAAATTTATCTTTGTAAGTATCTTTTCAGCTCACTTTGTAAGTATTAGTGGTTAAAGTTTTGTAAAGGTTTTTGTAAAGGTTTAAGTTTTGTAAATGTTTCTGAGAAACCGAATTCTTGAAAGTCTAGTCTTTCAAAGAAGCTAAAAACTGTTTAAAATTGGAATTTTTGGATTTAAATCAGCTTTTTGAAAGCCCATAAATACTTTATTTTCAAAATTTCAAAATTCAAACAGTTGTCTGAACGAAGAAAAAAAAGGAACAGTTGAGAACGGTTCGTGAGAAGGGAAACGGGGGAAAAGAGTGAATGATTGTTTGTTTAAAGCAGATGTATTCATAGATTTTTGTTATGAATAATATTTATAATTGATTGATTTAGGGAAATGAAAGATCAGAGAGAACGACGAATACAAATAGATTGTCACAAGAAAGAGATGGATTGAAGAGAAGAGTTGAACTGTTGGAGCAACAGTTGAGAACGGTTGGTACGGTTGGTGAGAAGGGAAACGGGGAATGGAGCTGAAAGTTGATCAGAGCAAAACTATAGATTGAATTTTGTAGAGTATTTAAAGGATATCTGCAAAGCAAAAGAAAAATCCCTATCTAAATGCCCGGTGTTCTTTGTGCGGCGCATAATCTCTATCTGGCAAACGACCTAATATATAGTGCTTTCCTTTTAGCAACGAGATTTTCAAGTTTCAGATGATTCTAGAACCTCTAGAATCTAGAATCAATCATTGTTGTATTTCCATTTCATCAATCATTGTAGAATTCTACTAGGTTGGTGCAAATGAAATTTCGTTTTTTTACAAACATTAAAGTCATCCAAAATTTTTTTTGATAACAATTTATTTAAAACAATAAGCACCATTATTATATATGACATCCCTCCAACGTTGCTACAGATTGCGGATCCCCTTCTCAAAGAACGCTTGATTCTGTGATGCAAAGTAGTTGGTCACCCAATTTTCGACTTCTTTTGCATTCTTAAACTGGCAATTCTCAAGGGAATGTTGCATCGATCTGAAAAGGTGAAAATCGGAGGGTGCTAAGTCTGGACTATACGGCGCATGTGGTAAGACCTTCCATCCTAGCTTCTCTAGTTCCTTACAAGAGGTTTTTGCCGTGTGAGCTGGAGCATTATCACGGAGAAAGTTGATAGTTGAGGGATTTAGGCCTTTTTCACGCAAAATTTCGTCAACCTTCTTGAGTTGTTGAATAAAATAAGATGAATCGACTGTTTTTCCGGGCTCTAATAATTCAAAATGAACAAGTCCATTGATATTCCACCAGCAAGACAACATCACTTTGCGCCCATGATAATCCGGCTTTGGAGTTGGAATTGGCTCTTGACCTTTGCTCAGCCATTGTCTTTTTCGAGAAGTATTATCAAAGTGAATCCACTTCTCATCCATCGTCAAGATATTCTCAAAAAAAAATGGCTTCTTTTCGACTTCTGGAGCAAGATATGGCTGATCGGAACGCGTGCTCCCAGATTCTCAACACTCAATTGATGTGGAACCCATTGTCCATTACGATTTGTCTTTCCAATTATTTCCAAATGGCGTACAATTGTTGAATTGGAGATGTTTGGCAAGTTCTCGTGTTGTTTGCATTGGATCAGCTTCAATTCATTGTTGTCGATGGCTGTGGCACGATGTCCATGCGATTCGTCTTCAAGGGATTCATTACCATCTCGGAATTGGGCAAACCAGAGCTGGCATGATCTTTCGGTGATAACCTGTTCTCCAAAGGCGGAACAGAGATCACGATGTGAATCAGCAGCGTTTTTGCCCATTTTGAAGTCATAGAGAAGACACGTGCGCAGAACATACTTTTGATCCACCATGATCTAAAGCAAAAATCAATTAAAAAGTGAAAGCTCTGACTTTGAAAAAATGCGAAAATAAAGTAAATATCCAAGAGTACAAATTCACAAAAGAACATCAAATAAGCTCTTCAGATTAAAAAAATAAGAACATTTTATATCGACCGAAATTTCTTTTGCACCAACCTAATAGAATCATTGTTGTACTTTGAATCCAATCCATCTTAGAAGTTCACTTCTCTAAATAAAAGTTAAGAACTGCAGTAATTACAAATTCTAAATCAGTTACAATTGTAATTCTAAAGAGTATGTGATATTGAGGCGTCAGTTATATAGTGATTTCCCTTACTAAACAGCGTTCTTTGTGCGTAATCACTCTCTATCTGGCAAAGGACTCTAATATATAGTGCTTCCCTTTTACCAAAGAGATTTTCAGGTTTCAAATGATTCTAGAATCTTTCTAGAATCCAGAATCAATCATTGCTGTGCTTCCATTTCATCAATCATTGTAGAATTCTAGAATCATTGTTGTACTTTGAATCCAATCCATTTTAGAAGTTCTCTAACTAAAAGTTAAGATTCTCTGCAGTAGTTAGAAATTCTAAATCAGTTACAATTGTAATTCTAAACAGTAAGGGATATTAAGGGGTCAGTTAGATAGAGATTTCCCTTACTAAACAGTAAGGGAAATCCCTATCTAACTGATCGGCGTTCTTTGTGCGTAACCGCTCTCTATCTGGCAAACGACTCTAATAATTTTCAAGTTTCAAATGATTCTAGAACCTTCTAGAATCTAGAATCAATCATTGTAGAATTATAGAATCAATCATTGTTATACTTTGAATCCAATCCAATTTAGAAGTTCTCTAACTAAAAGTTAAAAGATTCTCTGCAGTAATTACAAAATTCTAAATCAGTTACAATTGTAATTCTAAACAGTAAGGGGATATTATTACAAACAATAAGAAAAAGCTATTTTTTAAGCTATCTTTTAGCTTTCCCTTTTAGTCTGCTTCCACCTCAAGCATCGACACTTCGAAAGCAACAATCGATCGAGCGTCAAAGGTTTGATTTCATCAATCTTTCAAAAAAGGAATAAAAGAATTTATTTAGACTGACGAGGAAATCGAAGAAATGATGGAAAAGGCAAAATTTGATCAACAAAATGCACAAAAGGAGGCAAAATTGTTGAGAGAAAGGATTGAAGGATTGGAAAGACATATGCACACCGTTCGTTTTTCATTTTCATTTTCATTTCATTTACTTTTAATAGTTTTTTATCTTCAGGAAAAAGAGCAGCTAATAAACGAGCACGCAAAACGAGTAGAAGCTCTTGAAAGAGGACGGAGAAACGTTTTACAAGAGAACTCGCTTATGATGCAAAAGTTGGAAAGTATGGGAGAAGATATTGAAAAGGTAAATGATAAAGGAATTTATTAAAATGTTTAAAATAATGTTTTCTATCCGTTTTTTCACATGTCTATCATAATGTTTTCAGAAAAAAGAACATATTCTGAAGTTAGAGAAGGAGAACGCAGTGGTTGTTGAAGAGAATAATTGTCTTCGGAGAAAGATTGAGGGATTGGAAGTGGTACAGCAAGAGGTGAGATTGAAAAAGAGTATAGTTATAATTGAATTTCTTCTTTTATAAAGCTTTATATGTGTCGTAGCCGATTATGAATTTCAGCCGATTATGAATGAGCGGGTTTAGGAGCGTCCAACCATCAAGTATTTATTAGGTTGATGCATAAGTCTTTTCGTTTTTTTCGTACTTCTGTTAAAAAGTAACAAATTCACCAATTAACCTATGCTTTTCTCTAAATAAAAAGTGTTTTTTTGTTCAATTTGCATCTTTTTAAATGAATTTCGGTTCACTTTCAAGCAAATTCGAGAGTGAAAAACGCCTTTTTCGTAAAAATCTATAAAAAACCCTACGGAAAAATTGGCTGAATGAATTTCTCTGAAATTTTGGCGAAATATCAAACTTTTTTTTCTCTATCTTTTATCTATTGACACGAAGATAGGTTTTCTTTAGCTAAGGTGTCTAAACCGCATCATCGAGTTAGCCCTTTTTGACTACCCGACTTCATACTCTCAAGAAAATCCAGGCATTAAATATTTTTAAACCCGTTTTAATGTTATTTTGCAGAAAAATAATTGGTTTTTCTAATGAAATCAACCGTAGTTTAATTGGTGCATTTGTTGGCTTGAAACGGCAGACGAAAAGGAACAAAAACACTTATGCATCAACCTATTAGTATCCTTCAATAGCCGATTATGAATGAAATTTTTTGGCCTCAAATAAATCAATAATCAGATGAATTGGACCATTAATGTAAAGAAGGATTGAAAGTGAAAACTGAGTTTCTAGAAAGTTGGGAGTTGGGAAAGTTTCTAGAAAAGTTAAAACAATGTTGGTCAAACTTTTGGTAGACCGAAAGCTTGGATGTTCATCTTTGTTGAAGCATTTCAAAAATAGCCTTTGAGAGGTGCAAAAACCAGTATTAACTGGCACTCTATTCTGGACATTAATCTGATTGACTCCGAACCGTTAAAACGGTTGTTTACTTTTTAGACAAACGACTATCAATCAACCAGTCACCGCGCTTTTCCCTGATCACCGCCTTTAGTCCAATTTTACTTTGATTTTGACTCTCTTCTGTTATCAAATTTTACTAGATGGGTAATGTTATCATTATTATCTATAAAGAATGCACAAAGAGCGCTCATTTGCCTTAAGTAAATCAGTAATCAGATGAATTGGACCATTAATGTAAAGAAGGATTGAAAGTGAAAACTGATTTTGAGATTTTCAACTTGATTCATTTTCTCCCAGTTTAGGAGCGCTTCTAAAAATTACCCTGACTGTACAAAAATTGTACAGTCAGGATGTACAAAAATTGATCACCGCCTTCAGCCACACACAAAACAAACCCTAATTTTTCAAATTCAGAAATTTTTTTCCAGTAAAATTGATGTTGTCGTTTCGCTGGAGGCGATCGTCAATCTGTGGGCATTCCTAGTGAGATTTATAGGTTGAATTTCTTATAAAGATTTAGATAAAATCATCATAAAGGTCTTCTTTTCAATGCAATAACATTCTATCAATGATATGTCGTAGCCGATGATGAATGAGCGGGTCTAGGAGCGTCCAACCATCAAGTATTTGGTATCATTCAACGCAGAATCATTAATAATTATGTTAAATTTTTAAAATTAGAAAGATTGGATAAAAAGAAAAAAAATTATGGGGCTTCACAGTTTCCTCTTGAACAAAAAGTTTTTTTGCTCTAATTTTTTTTCTTTTTATCAAATCTTTCTAATTTTAAAAATTTAACATAATTATTAATGATTCTGCGTTGAATGATACCAAATACTTCATGGTTGGACGCTCCTAGACCCGCTCATTCATAATCGGCTGAAATTCATAATCGGCTACGGGGGTCCCGCCGAATGAAACGTTGTAGCGCCGGTAATTTTTAACCTAAGCTCACAAATTTGGTACCAATCGACGCAGAATTTAATTTGCTACAGGATGATATAACATTGTTCTCATACATTAAAGGGTTGCTCTACTAGAAAGATTTACCAAAAAATTTCATTCATAATCGGCTACGACATTAGAACTTCTAGCTATAGCCTATCTTAGCTAGACAACGGTATTCATTCTAGATTGGGTATTCAGTCTAGATTAGCTGATTTACGGTATTCAGTCTAGATTGGGTATTCAGTCTATATTAGCTGGATTACGGCATTCAGTGTAGATCAGGGTACTCAGCCTTGAATAAGGTATTCATTCTATTTCAGCTGGACTATCAAAATCTATAGAGTATAGATTGATAATTGAAGAAAGTATTCAACTTTACTCGTTGCATACTTTTATGGATTCAATTTCACTCAAAAATTACTTAACAATTGTCTAACAATCAAGCTGTTTCTAGAAAGAAAGTCTTCTCAACGCTCAGTTGAGTAAATCGGTTGAAGAACTGGAGACACAAGTAACAGTGATGAGGAAAGACTTGGAAATGGCAATCATTAAAGCTAAAGAGGTAACTATGACATCATTTTAAAAGGATTGCCAGAGAGGGGATTGAAATCTCAACCTGTTTCTGCTTTCCTTTTTGCTTTCCGATGCTCCACTAAGCTATTGTTGTCTATTGTAACTTGTTGTCAAAGAAGAAAGAGGAAAAAGGAGAAGAGATGATGAAGAAAGAGGCTAATGATCATGATTTCAGGCTAATGATGAAGTGGATAAAATCAAAGCTGAACTCTCGACGAATCGCGAAGAGAATGCTTGGCTTTTGAAAGAGAACGAGAGCCTCAAAGAAAACATTGATGATTTAAAGAAGCAGCTTGATGAGGTAGTGATTTGATCACTTTAAGATCATTGAACAATTTTAACGTCAAAATCCTTTAGCAAGAGTTCAAAAGCTCTATCGATAGTGATTCTGAAGAGGTAAAATCATCCTCTTTGCCCTTTTCAAAGCTTGATTTTCATTTTTTTGATTAAAATTTCCCTTAAAAACGATTGTTCTACCTATCCATTTGTGCATCTTTGGCTTAACCTAAAGTTAAAGATTTACAAAATGAAACTACCGTAAATATTGTAATAGTACCCCACCCCGATAATGACGGTGCGGAGCGTCGCGTAGTCTAGCTTTGACAGCGTTTTTCTCGACACTGGTTTATGCTACAATGCGCGCTTATGTATCAAAAAATAGCTGGAATTTAAGGCTATTTTTTGATACCAAAGATAATGACGATGCGGAGCGTTGCGTAGTCTAGCTTTGAACGCGTTTTTCTCGACACTGGTTTATGCTACAATGCGCGCTTAGGTATCAAAAAATAGCCCTGAATTTCAGCTATTTTTTGATACTAAAGACGCATTTTTTGAAAGTACTGGTGCTTTGCAAAAAATGAAATACTAAAAAACTTTTGCGACTACGCGACTGTACAAGGGCGGTGGGGTACTATTACAGTATTTACAATAATAAACTTAAAATTAAAGAAATCTATTTAGAAACAACAACCTGTTCAAATGATTGTCCCTCGTCGCTCAAATTTAGTGGAAAAATTGGAAAAAGAGATTGATGAGTTAAAAGAATCAAATATCGAATTGATGAAAGAAGTCGATTTACTTAAAAAAGAACACACTGAAAAGGTTTTTTATAAGTTTTTGTAAAAGAGAATGACAATTTTAGAATCTCGAAGCCGTTCCGCAAGAGCTTAAACTTAAATTCGAGCTAACGAAACGAGAGAATGAGATGTATGGAAAAAAGATTCGAGAGATGGAAGAAGAACGAGCTGATATGTATGCAGTAATGTTCAAAAAAGGACAACAAGCTGTGGAATTCGAAGCACAAGAGGTTAATGATGTAAAAGGCAAAGGAATATTGAAATGAATGAATGGAATGAATGAAAAGAAAACGACCTTACTGTATTCAATTAATTTCGCTTTACTTTTTAGGTTTTATTCAAGTAAACACTAGCCGCTATTCATTTTTTCTTTTCATTAGACTGCTTAATAGCCCTGGATCTTAATCGGGAGCTCTAGGGTTCAATCCCGGCTAGATTATTACTTCTTTTTCCTTACATTTAAGGCTTAGAGGTTGTACTTCTGTATTTTTTTACCAAATTATTCGTCTGAATAAATGTAGTAACCAATATTGACAGAAATTTCAGGAAAGAGTGGTTGATCAAATGACGGAAGATCGAATCACTCTTCGCTTTCTTCGTGACGCTTTTTACTATTACCTGTTGAATCGAGGAGATGAAAAGGATCATCTACTGGTAAGATTAGAGTAAGGCTTACCTTATCGGGAACGGGATTCGTGTCGGCTTACCTCATAGGTAGAGCGCTTGCCAGGTAAGCTGGAGGTTCGAATCCCGGCCGGGTTCGAATCCAGTCCGGATTCGAAACCAGCCCAAGTTCGAAACCAGCCCAAGTTCAAAGCCGGCCCAGGTTTGAAAGCAGCCCAGGTTTGAAAGCAGCCCAGGTTTGAAAGCAGCCCAGGTTCGAAAGAAGCCCAGGTTCGAAAGAAGCCCAGGTTCCAATCCGGCCCAGGTTCCAATCCGGGCCAGGTTCCAATCCGGGCCAGGTTCCAATCCCATGTTTTGTATTCCTAGTTCCAACCCATAAAAGGACAACTCTAGAATTCGTAACTAGAACGTGTTTTATCAATATAAAGACATTAAGTCTATGATCTGATATTTGTTTTATTGATAATCTAGAACCAGCTTTAGTAGATAAATTCTTGATTCATCTAAACATTCAGGCAATTATGACAATGCTTAACTTCTCATGTGAGCAAAAAGAAGAAGTGAGCCGAAAAAGGAAAACGCCTGATCGACGATAGTTTTCATTAGGGTTTTTTTCATATTTTATGTTATTTTTGTGTTATTTTATTTTGAAATTCTGCTTTTTTTTCATTCGGGGCAAGTTCGGGTCATTTCTTTTGTGTGTCATTTTGTTGAATCTAGTCTTATTGCCATGTTAAAATAAAAATGTGATATGTTTTCAGATAAACTTTATATGATTTTGAAATTTAAAGAAGTTTGATGTTGAAAGAATTACGTTTAAAAGTTATATTAAGAAAAGAAAATGGTTAAAGAAATCTGGTTTAAGAAATCGACAAACTTAAAAATTGATTTTATTTGGTTTTTAATAAATTTAACTATTTTTATAATATTCAAGAAGTTGATTGAGTTTGATTTTTGTTTCCAATTTCTCATTTATCCGATTCGTCACTTATTTTGGTTTCCAATTTCTTGTTGATCCGATTCGTGAAAGATGATTGTGTGCAGAGAGACGGATCATCGATGAGCGTTTTCTCGTGGGCTCCGTGTGAATTTCAGGAGTTGGACCCTAGAAGCTTTTGGATAAATTCTTAAAAATAAATAAAGAAAATGATAGATTCTAGTCTAATTGTGCAGAAAAGTAGCTCTTTTCTCTGAAATCTTATTTGATGCTTTGATTTTGAATATCTCTGATTCTCTGATGGACAAGTCCTTCCTCTAAGGATCGTTCTTGTGATAAAAAGGGACGGAGCTCACTTTGTATTCTTGCTCGTTTGACTTTGACACACTGAGCCAACGATTGATTCGATTTTATTGTACTTTCTCGCTAGATTAGTGTGCTATATTCGGAATAATAATCGGAATAAATATCTAAATAATCATTGCCCCATCGGTACCCTTTCACGCACTGCACACTAATATAGTTTACAAAAAGAAATCAAAATCTCAAGGATCGTTAAAGCCGAGATCAAGCTGGGAATTCGATTTACAGAATGACACCAAAATCATTGAGATCTACAGAATGACCCCAAAATCATAAAAATTGGCTCACTTAGAAGAAAGTTATGGAGAGTTGCGCAAAGACCCAGTTGCGCAAAAAAAAGTTGCGGAAATTAATCTACTCCGGAAAACTTTGACAAACCAATAGATTCCCTAAATCTCTCCAATTCAGTATTCGCTTTCTCAAGGTTATTAATTCGACTCTTCAGCCATTTCTTCTCCGATTCCTTCTTCGATTTCTTCTCCGAAATTTCCTAAAGTTTAAACTTCTAAGCTTACTGTAAATACTGTAATACAGTGCGTTTCAAATTCTTAAGCGCACCCTCTAAAATAGCGAATTTTGCATTTTGACCACCTCTACAACTATTAATCTTTTTCTACTAGAAAGAGCATGTCTTAAAACCTAAATAACACGAAAAATAAGCATACTGTAAAAAATAAAAATTTTCAAAATAGAAACTTTTTGCTACTTTAAATTTCCCAATAAAGATACTGTTTCAGATCTTTAGACGCTTTAGATTACGTAATCCTTAGCCAAACCTCATAATCAGCCTCCGATTCTAACAAATCAAAGACATAGGCGCCAAAAAGGAGATAAGTGAAAGTGGAAATGATGAGAATGAGTGCACGACTGCTCTTCTTATTGTCAGCTCCGAGCCAAACTGATATTTTGATTACTATTGTTATTATTGAATGATTTGTCTATTCTTATGCAAATGTGTTCTCCCCTGTGCTTGTCCCTTTTATTGCCGAGAAGGAGCGGTCCTTGGGAGGACGCTCCTTCTGGCCTAGGAGGACAAGTGAGACTCCCATTTGGAGTCCCCCTTCCCCTTACACTTATTTGTAATCTATTCGTCTTATTGTATTACTGTAAATAAAGATACGTGTCTTCCGGGTCTATGCAACTGCAGTACAGGTCGGTCATTTCACAGGGACTCCCCTCTAATACGTTGGAGGAGTTGAGTTGGGTTGTCGGGGTGTTAGAGATGGCGGGATATCAAAATGGATCCACTCTCTTTAACTTAACCCAAATTCTAGTCCACATCCGTTTATACTTAGGAACGTATATTATCCAATTGTATTATCCAAAAGAATTCATAATTTTCGAATTAAAAACCCCCAAATCGGCAAGTTATTTAAATAATACGGCAATTTAAAAAACAAATAAACCATTTCCTCATTTTAATAAATTTAATCAAACAAAATATAGTTTAGCGGCGAAAAATCTTTTTCTGAAATCTTTTGGGTCAAAAGACGCCTCCTTCCACCCTCACACTGACCGAACAATAAAAAGCTGATTACTTGGAGGAATTTTTCAAGAAAATCCTTTTGAACTCAATGAAAACATTTAAATTTTGACAAAACAATCAAAGCGCTATGGTGACTGAATTTTTTTTAGCTACCGTAAATACTGTAATTGGACCCCACCCCTCTAATAGTATCCCCCTCTAATAGTACCCCACCCTAGAGGGGAAGGGAAAAAAATAATATCCCACCCCTCTAATAGTACCCCACCCCCACCTAACGCGTAATTACAAACAACGCTTTTAAAGCGGAAAATTTTCAGGTATTTTCAGAAATCGTTTGTATTTTTAATTTTATTCCATAAATTTGTTGTTTTTAAACTTGGGGTGGCTACTTTGCGCCAAATTTTTTGCGCAGCTCGCCATAACTTTCTTTTAAGTGGGCCAATCTTTATGATTGTAGATCTCAACAAGTGCAACAAAGTAACACCAAAATCATAAAGATTGGCCCACTTAGAAGACTTGAACAACTTAGAAGCCACTTGAACTCGGAGGGGAATGATATCGGTTTGGCTGAATGGATACGGGATCGTCGAGCCGAGAAGAAACGAGTGACACACCGGATTATCTTGAATAAAGCGGTTAATCGATTCGAAAAAGCTGAAATTTCTTTCAAAAGAAGCCATGGCTGGATGAGGCTTGAGGCGCCACCAACCACCAACTTTCTTTGAGGGCACCAACAACAACTTGTCAAAAGCTGCCGAGCGAATTTAGAAAGCTGATTACTTGGAGGAATTTTTCAAGAAAATCCTTTTGAACTCAATGAAAACATTTAAATTTTGACAAAACAATCAAAGCGCTATGGTAACTGAATTTTTTTTTTAGCTAAGTAATGGTCATTTCAGCGTTCGATTGATGGAAATTCGATCTGCTGTCAACTCGGTGCGATTTCCGGAACTTTCTCTGAAGAAATATTTCCTTTAAAGCCTCAAAATTTATCAAAAAATCGATTTTCTCATTAGTTTTACACAGTGATACTATTTTCAAGTAAAGCTTTCTGGAATCGAAATCGCTATCAAATGCTTCGATCGCGTTTTTACCCACTCAAACTCATCGCGCATCTTTTCACATAAAAATGTTAAAGTTAAAGTGTGACGGAACGAAGAAACGGTCGAAACTTATATAAATTATATTTATCTGGTCGCGTCCGTTTCCTTCCTATTTGCGTTGCTATTTTGCAATTATTCGCGTCGCATTTTTCGTCCTTTTTCTCCCTTCCCGTAATGATTTTTTTGGTCTGCAGGTTTTTGCCTTCCTTCTTGGGGGAACTTTGTTGTTTCAAACTTTGTTGTTTCATTAAAATGGCTTTAGGTCAAGAGTTTTCCAAAATTTCCCACTTGCTCGATCATCTTTCTCGTCTGTTGACGACTCTTTGCTTGTTTGATCGTTCATTTGCTTGCTTTCTTTCCCCATTCGTCTCTAATCTCTCCACCAAATCCAAGCTGAAATAATTTGCAGAGGGAGAAGAAGTGTGAGACCTGAATACATCAATTTATTATGTTCTATTGATTAATTTCTCCTTTTTTTTTCTTTTTTTTTTTTTTTCTTTTTTGTATTTTTTTTTTTTTTTTTTATTTTTTTTTTTTTTTTTTTTTTTGCAGAATCATCCTCGTTGATAAGGTTAAAGCGGATCGCACCCCAAACTATCTGATCTCTGGATAAGTTCCTATTTTTGAGAGGATTTTCGTAGGAATCCGACCGATTATCCATCAGAAGTCATACTTTGAGTAGAAACAAAAACATTTATGATCTTGTATGTAGTTCTATGTTCATTTTTGCTCATTCAAGTCAAAGATTCCTGGAATTTCGTCCAAATTTGATGAATTTTCGATATTTCCATAGCAAAAGTGTGTATTTGAGTGAAATGCTATTAGGTTTGCAACTTAATAATGACGCGTTTGTGTAAGAAAACGGTTTGAGATCCATTTATTTCAAAAAACACAAAAGGAGAGCTTTCGATTCGAAAGGTATTCTCCATTAGTATCTATGACTTCTTTCCATCTTCTGCCCAAATTCCGGACCCCTCCTCGAAGAACTCGGGAGTTCTGGCAACCGATGTTCTGGCATTCCACGATCGCCCTTGAAAGAAATACAAAGAACTTACGGTAACTCCTTTGTTGAATCGTTCCTAAAAACTTGACTCTTTTAAAATTCATTAAATTTTGAGTGGCTCATCTTCACATATCTTTGAAGCCCTACCTTGAAATGTCCCCTTTACACCCCTTTACAGCCCCTTTACAGCCCATTGTGAGGCAACGCAAAACGAAATACAAATATATAGGTAGCACTTATCAGAGAGACTCATTTCTGCTCACATTTCCCCCGAATGCTCTTGTTATCGCTCTTCTGTCTCTTTTTGGGGTGCCACCTGGCGGTGACAGTGACCGTTCAATGTCCTGCCGGGGCTGATCGCTATACGGATGGAAGCGAGTGCATATATGCGGTGAATGCAGGTTTTTTTTTGATTCTTTTAGGAAGAGTCCTCAAAAAGTTCATTGACTTCAGAAACCAACTATACCGTGGCCAAACAAATCTGCCAAAATCTCAAGGGGCGATTGTTGCAACCGACAAACATCTATGAAAATGTCATTGCCGGAGCACAGATCACGAGTGGTTTGTGGAAATTCTAAATTGTAACATCTCTTTTGGTAACAGATGTAAAGGGCGATAGGCAACAGTAAGGAGATTGGATTAACTTTTTTATCTGCCCAGCTCAAGAAGGTTCAGAACATTTCTAAATTGCGATCACTCTA